AAGGGGTTCAAGCCCCCTTCTCTCTCAGTCACCCACCCAAGGGATTCAAGCCCCCTTCTCTCTCAGTCACCCACCTAAGGAAATTCAGGCCCCTTCCCTCTCGCCCACCCAACCCAAGGGGATTCAGGCCCCTTCCCTCTCACCCACCTGCTCAAGGGGTTTCAGGCCCCTTCTCTCTCACTCACCCACCCAGCCCATCCCCACACTCACCTACCAGCAGTAGGAGCAGCGGAAAGCCCACTTTCTTAAGGAAAAAACACCCCCAGAGGCGGTGCCTTGTGGGGCGAAGTGTGGTAGTGGAAAATTGCTTCCAGCCCAAGACTCAAATCCCATCCCTGACGTAGCCAGAGCTGACGCGAACCAGAGCCGCCGGCCGGTCGGCTCTGACGGTGTCCATTAGGCCTTGCACGTCAGATCGGTTACTTGAGCACCGAGTGCCGTGCTGCACAGATTCCACCCACCGCACCCCGACCCACAAGGCACAACCCCAGGTGATGCTGCCCCTAAGGCAGTGAACTCCCCACTTGCTCCCATGCTCCCCACCAACCCACCCCACACTTCACCCCCATGCCTACTCACCTGCACCCACCACAGCCGTGCAAATCACCATGATGCTGAGGCTGCTGGGAAGTGGAGAGAGAAGTGGGGATTAGGGGAGGGCGAGACTCCTCTGTTGTCCAGGCAGGGTGCTGCTGGGAGGGAAAGGAGATGGGAGAGAGGAGGAGGTGAGTGAGGGTTGACTCCACTCCAGTGCTCCCACCTTCAGCCTGCAGGGAGAAGGGGGAAGAGAGAGAGGAGGGATCAGCTAACCATACCACACCTGTACCATACCACACCTGCACCATACCACACCTAGTCTGCCCTCTAGCCCCCCAGACCTCACAGCTACTGCTGCTACTGCTGCTGCCGGTCTGCTACACTGCTTCCCCTTCATATGCCGCTGCCCCTCTCCTCCCCACATCTGCTGCCCTCCTGCTGCCCCCTACTACCCTGCTGCTGCCGTGCTGCTGCCCTGCTGCTGCCCCCTGCTGCCCTGCTACCGCCTTCAATGTACTGGGAGGGAGGGAGAGGGAAGGAAACATGGAGCAAGGGACAGCAGTGAGATTGGGGAAAACAGCAAGCATGAGGCAGGGAGGGAGCAAAAATGAGAAGTGAGCATGCAGAGAAGACCAAGCAGCAGCATGAGTGCATAAGGGAAAAGAGGCTCACCTTGTTCCAGACGACCCCATACCGATACTCTCCCATCCCATCCCAGCCGAGTGAAGTGCTGCCCCTTTCCCTTCCTCCCACCACTGCCACCTGCATGGCCACAAGGGGAGGGGAGCGGGGGAGTGGCGGTGTTGACCCTTACGCCCCTCCCCTCCACCTGCAAGGAGAGAGATGTAAGTCAAGTGAGTAAGCAGCTAGAGGGAACAAGGTGAAGGGTGTGCATGGGTGGGGTGGGGTGGCAGGTAACAGCAAGAAAGGGAGCCACTGGTGCAGTCTCAGGTACAAGCCACAGACTCAAAGGGAGGCCTTAACCTGAGAGGATACGTGTACCAGGGGTGGTTTACCAAAAAAAAGGGGTCTGTGGCTTGAAGTTGTAGCACGACCAGAGGCTCAGGTTGGAAGGGAGGTTCAGGTCTCTTGGGTGTGACAGAGGGCAGCACATGAATAGAAAGAACGGGCGGGGTACTTAGCTGTGGGTGGATTGGGTGAAGAGCAGCCGCTGCCTGTGCACCCCATGTCCCCCGCCACTGCCACTCCCGTGTGAGCAACCTGCTGGGACGAGAGGGGGCAGGTCGGGGCAGAGAGAGGAAGGGAGGAGAAGGGGGAAAAAACGGGAAAGTGAAGGGGGCGCAGAGGAGTGGGGAGAGCAGTGAGGAAAGAAGCGAAGACAAGTGAAAGTGAAGAGTGTAGCAAGCGCAAGCATGATTCGTGCATGAAGGGACTGCTGCAGTGGCACACCCAAGAGACCTCGTACCAGCTGAACCAAACTAAAACGAATACCTGAGGCTGTACCAAGGAAAAAGATACCGACTACCTTGGGGGAGGGAGGTGTAATGGGTGTGACAAAGAGCAGTGAAAACGGGAGTGTAATGCATGGTGCAAGCATGACAAGCAAAGCAACACAGTGAGAGGGTTGGGAGGAGAGAGGAAGGGCGGGGTACTTAGCTGTGGGTGGATTGGGCGAAGAGCAGCCGCTGCCTGTGCACTCCATGTCGGCCTCCACTGCCACTCCCGTGTGAGCGACCTGCTGGGACGAGAGGGGGAAGGTCGGGACAGAGAGAGAAAAGGGAGGAAAAGGGGGAGAAAACGGGAAAGTGAAGGGGGCGCAGAGGAGTGGGGAGGAGAGCAGTGAGGAAAGAAGCCAAGACAAGTGAAAGTGAAGAGTGCAAGCATGATGCGTGCATGAATGGACTGCTGCAGTGGCACACCCAAGAGACCTCGTACCAGCTAAACCAAACGCAAACAAATACCTGAGGCTGTACCAAAGCAAAAAATTCCTGCTACCTTGGGGGAGGGAGGTCTCATGGGTGTGACAGAGGGTAGTGAAATGTAGAGCATGATGCATGGTGCAAGGATGACATGAAAGCAACAGAGTGGAGGGAGAGAAGGCACTTAGCTGGCGGTTGACAAAGCAACGAGAGCTGGTGGTGCTGCCGCAGCTGCTGCGCACCCCCACGCCAACAAGACGAACATCCGTGCGACCATTTCGACAGCCACTACGCGCGGACGACCATTTCGCCATGCGATGTCGGACGGACGACCATTTCGCCGTGTTGCGACAAGCGGACGACGATTTCGCCGGGCTGCGACGCGCGGGCGACAATTTCGCCGTGCGACGACGCGCGGCCAACGATTTCGCCGTATTACGACGCGCGGACGACGATTCCGTCGTGCGACGACATGCGGACGATTCCGATCATGCTGCCCCGACAGCGTTGTCAGTCGTATCTGAACGCAGGCAGAGCATCAATAACGGAGAGATGTTTTCGAAAGTGACAAGGCTCAGAACGAATGCATCGATTGAGACTCAGAGGCAGGCAGAGAGCAAGTGTGACGAGTCGTAGGGATGAAAGAAGCAAATCGTAGGGGTGAAAGAAGCGACAGAAAAAATATTTATTTCAAGCAAGTCGTACCGAAGAATTCGCAGAACAGTGTGCGAAAATCGCGGAAGCATGCGCAACGAGGCAACGACGGCCTGAAAATAAGAAATCGCATCGCCTCGACGGCACGTGCTCGGTAGCGCATCTGGCGTGGGCGAGACAGAAGTGTAATCGGGAAATGAGCATCTGAGAGGTTCGAACGCGAAATGAGAACCCTGATAAACTGAAACCTTACATTCACGAGAGAATGACGCTAGCAGAGACGTATAACCGAACTGGAAGACTAACCTTGTCGAAAAACTATCTGAATATCATTGCTTCATCGCAGTATCGACAGCACGGAGAAGACGCAACCCCGCCAGAAACCGCTCCCGAGAAACACGCGGTCAGCGAGCGAGTACTAGAGAAGCAGTCGATAGGGGAAGCTAATCGTTGCGAGGAAGATAAAAGTAGTAGCCAGCGACAACGAAGCTGCGGCCATGGATAGTTCCGAGGAAGAAAATGTCGTGATAGCTAAGTGGAGCGGTAAGATGAGAGACGGAAAGGAAAGAGGCGAGGAGAGTTGGAAGAATGAGGTTGACAATGGCCGTGTTCTGCAGCCGCATCAGGCCGCATCAATGTACATTGATGCAATTTCCATTTCGCCAACAGTTTTATCAAGGCTCGCGATAAGCGCATCAGAGCCGAGGCAGACCAAACTAGAATGCCTGCAGAACGGCCTTCTTGGCGACCAAAATTTCCAATGTCGCCACGTTCTCGGATTTTTCTCGTCCTAGCAATCGGGAGCATCTGAAATGCGCGCATCATGCAACTTCGAACGGCCATTTTCAGGTGCATGCAACTTAGTCGAGGCGCATTATTCAGGTGCATGCTATCCCGTCGTTTTTCACGCTCTGTTGTTACGGTATGTACACCCCCGCCACGAAAATTACTGTTCCGTTAGGGGATGCTACAATCCGACTGACACCAACTGGCGCAGCTCTCGCACGAACTCGTCGTCCAACCACGCCAGTCGCAGCCTTACTGCGGGCAATACATATCGCAACACACCCGACTATAAACGGGCAAACGTTTATAATACCCAATTGGAAACGCATACGACTTGGAAGGAATCAACCCTAAACACGAAAAGTTGTTCCCGTGTTTAGGGTTGATCTCTTCCGAAATGTGAGTCCAGGTTCCCTAGTTTTTTTTTTCCACTGCCTTACAGGACATCAACCCCAAACACCATGACGGTTCCCGTGTTTAGGGTTGATCCCTCCCGAACAATGTCCAGGTTTTCAAGGAGTTCTATTTTTCCTCTCTAGCTGCCTGTAGCACACCCAAGGCTCCCCTTTTTTCTTGTAAGGTTCAGACTATCAGGTATTCCCCTTGGTAGGTACATAACTTGATTCTCTAGGCATGGCAAGGTAAGGTAAAGGTTCCCTCACTTCCCGGCCTTGGGTGTTTTACAGCAGCTGTGCTTCCATCCCGCATGCCATCAGCTGTGTCTCCCTTTGGGTGCACAGCACTCCATGTGACCAAGCTGCTCTCCTCTCCCTTGTTCTTCACTCTAGCAACCCCTTCCCTTCCCCCTCCTTCTCCCGCTCCCCCGCCCCCTCCATCCCTCCTCCTCGCCCTGTCAGTGCCCTACGCGCACGTCATGGGACTTGGGATGCGGTGACAGCAGCAGAAGGAAAAGCAGAGGGAGCGGCATAGGGGGGACTTCAGCACACGACCAGCACACACCGACCAAGAGATGAGTATCCCTTCATCAGAAACTCTCCTCTCTTCACTCGCTTTCCAGCTTGTCATTTCGCCTGCTTCCTCTTCCAATGCCGTCCCGCTCTAGCTGCCTGTAGCACACCCAAGCCCCCCTTTTCTTGTAAAGGTTCAGACTGTCAGGTATGTCCCCTTGGTAGGTTCAAAACTTTATTCCCTTGGTAAGGGAAGGTGAGGTGAAGGTTCCCCCTTCTGCTCTTGGGTGTGTTTCAGCAGCTGTGCTTCCTTCTCACCTGCCATCTGCTCGTCTGGATTCGTCACCCCTTGTTCGGCACTGCACTTCTCTCCCTTGCCATTCTTTTTAATACCCCCTCCCCCTCCCCCCCTCCTCATCTGCTCTCCCACACCGTCCCTCCTTGACCTCCCTTCCAGGGCCCTGCTTGGCGGACGCCCCTCAAGGGACGTGGGTGGGGAGGCAGCGGCAGAGGCAGCAGCGTGAGGGGCGTCTTGAGCTCCCCAGCAGCACCACAGCCAGCACCGACTGAGCAGGACCAGAGATGAGTATCACCTCTCCACCCTTTTGCCCTCCTTCTTACTCACTTTCTTGCTTGTCGTTCTGCTCTCTTCCCATTCCACTGCCTCCCCGCTCTAGCTGCCTGTAGCACACCCAACCCATCCTTTTTCTTGTAAAGGTTTCAGACTGTCAGGTATGCCCCCTTGGTAGGTACAAAACTTGTTCTCCCTGGCATGGTAAGGTAAGGTGAAGGTCCCCCCCTCCGCTCTTGGGTGTATTACAGCAGCTGTGCTTCCTTCCCGCATGCCATCAGCTCATCCACATTCCTCTTACTGCACGTCTCTCCCTTGCAATTCGTTCTAATACTCACTCCCGCTCCCTCCCTCTCTCCTCATCTCCTCTCCCACACCACCCCCTCCCTGACCTTCCAGTGCCCTGCTCAGATGACTCTTCTCAAGGGTTTGGGATGCAGAGGCAGCAGCAGAGGAGGCAGCAGAGGCAGCAGCAGAGGCAGCCGCGTGAGCTCCTCTGCACACAGCCAGCACCGACTGAGCACGACCAGAGATGAGTATCGCTTCACCAGCCATTCCTTCTCCTTTTTGCTCGTTTTCTTGCTTATCGTTTTGCTCACTTCCCATTCCACTGCCTCCCCGCTCTAGCTGCCTGTAGCACACCCAAGCCCTCCCTTTCTTTTCAAGGTTCAGACTGTCAGGTACCCCCCTCGGTAGGTACAAAACTTTTTTTCCTTGGTAAGGTAAGGTGAAGGTCCCCCCCGTCTGCTCTTGTGTGTGCTGCTGCAGCTGCTCCCTTCCCGCATGTCATAATTTCATCTGCACTCGTCTCCCCCTGGACAACCCTTCACTTCTCTCCCTTGCCCATTGTTCGAATGCCCACCCCCCCTCCCCTCTCCTCCTCCCCTCGCCCACACCGCCCCTCCCTGACAGTGCAGTGCACTGCTTGGCGCTGAGGCATCATCTTCTCAAGGCTGCCGCGCCTCAAGGGACATAGGGGGCTCTCCAGACTGCACCACACAACCAGCACACACGCGCCCAGCATTATCAATGGTGAGTATCTCTCCACCACCCACACTCCCTCTGCCTTCAACTGCCTTTTCCCTTGGTTCTGCATGCTTCCTGTCTCTTTCTCCTTGCATGCACCTTGCTCGCCCTCACTCAGGTCCTCCCCTCCCCCTTCTCTCCCTCGGGCCCCCCTTCTCCCCCTTCTCTCCCTCGGGCCCCCCTTCTCCCCGTCCCTCCATCCCTCCCATCGCGCCAGGGGCAGGGGAGCGGAGGCATGCGGGGAGGAGCTAAGCTGGTGCATGTGGGGCACAAGCACGCAGGCATCACGGCGCCCATCTGCTGCTCTACTCACCGCAGCTAAGTCCCTCATCCTGCTGCCTGCTGCACTCCTGCGACTCTGCACTTGTTTTTTCCAGCATTTATGTTTTTCCAGCATTTCTGTTTTTCCAGCACTTGTCTTTCTTCTTGTATCTATGTAATTCCTGTTTGCAATTCTCTGGCCCCCTTACATCACTCTCCACTCGTCATCCATTAATAGCCTCTCTGCACCCTCCCCTCTCTCCCTAGCAGGTTCATTTGCTGTGGACGGGGGGAGCGTTGGTAAGTTGTGGTAAGTGTGGTAAGCGGTGGTGGTGGTGGTGGGGGTGGGCAGAGTGGGGTGAGGGGCCCTTGGGACTGGGTGCCAATAGCCGCACGTTCAAGGCATAAAGGACGATCATCACACCCTGCGGCCGGGGGTGTGGTGTGGCTCCCCTCTTGCCACGTCGCTCAGGCTCCACCCCTCAAGGTTCCTCTCAGCCCCTCTGCTGCTGGAGAGTGGTGGAGAGTGGTGGTGGTGGTCATGTTGGTGGTGGTGGTGGTGATGGTGATGGTGATGGTGATGGTGGTGGAGAGTGGTGGGAAGTGGTGGTGGTGGAGCGGAGTCCCCCTGAGGGAGGGGAGAGCAAGGCAGGGGAGGGATGTTGAACCCCCCAGGGCAAGGCTTGTGAGGGGCAGGGGGGAGGGAGGGGAGTTGAAACCCCGGGGTTGAGGCAAGCAAGGGTAAGATCAGAGGAACCCCCTCCTCTGGCCTTGGCTTGCCTTAACCTGGGGGTTTCAACCCCCCTCTCTTGCCTCTCACTTGCCTTGCTGTGGGGGGTTCAACATCCTTCCCCTGCCTTGTTCTCAACTCACTTAAGGGGGTTCACCCCCACTCCACTGCTGGTGGTGATGGTGGTGGTGGTGGTGGTGGTGGTGGTGGTGGTGGCGGTGGCGGTGGCGGTGGCGGTGGCGGTGGCGGTGGCGGTGGCGGTGGCGGTGGCGGTGGCGGTGGCAATGCTGGTGCCGGTGCTGGTGCTGGTGCTGGTGGTTGTACTTTCAGGCCTGATGGTGGTTGTATGTTCTAATGGTTCTGGTGTTTTGAGGGCTGGTGGTGGTGGGTTTCGTAGGAAGAGTGACAAGCACACATGATGTTTCAGATGTGTAAAGTAGTTTGTGTTGCGTAGGGAGACTGACAAGGACACAGATATTGTGTGCTGCACTTTGTGGCATTTTTACATATGCTGTTAGCCATTTGTTGATTTTGACAAAACCTCATTGATGGTTGCGTTGCTACCGTATGTGCTTTTCTGTTCAAAACGCAATGCCTGTACCACTTAGCCTGCAATTGCAGAGTACCAGGAAATGTGAAGTCTTTCTGCTCAACAATTTGACTGCTGATGCCAGAAAGCTCAAGCAGTTACTGTGGTTCTCTGTCAGGGATTTGTGATGGTCAAGTCCACCTATTTACTGGCCGAATCCCCAAAAAACATGTTTCACCAGAAAGCAATGCGAGTAAGCTTTTTTCCCACCCTCTTGCTCAGTTCGGGTGGTTTTGCACTCGATACAAATCAGCCACAAGCACTTTGATACGGTGGGACGTTGTACGGTCTGGTGTAGTGCGGTCCCGCGGTCTCATCACTGAAAGCCCCCTGACGTCACGTGACCCGTGAGAGGGCGTTTCATTCAAAAGGACAAAGTTCGATACGAGATTTGGCGGCGGCGGAATCAGCGATTCAGCGCGGGTAGTGTAGACATCCAGGCAGGTCCATCCATCCAGCGCGACAGATCCGTACACTCAACTCGGCAGCACACTCACCCACCCACAGGCATGGCTGTGCGAGAGTGAGGCAACAGGTAGAGCTCTCACTTGCCTTGCCATTGCCAGTTTTCTTCTATCACAAGATTCAGCAAAAAAAGGACCTGCTTCGCTATTTTGTCTGTAATCAGCCATGGTGGTCTTGCTGATAAAGTTTGCCCTAAGTCCCGTCGCGTGCTTCACAACTATCATATGCACCGCACAATCAAAGGCCGTCCCGACCGTGCTTTTTCGCCACTTTTCTTCGCTGTAGATAGGCCACAGAAGAATATACTGTATATCTTATTTGGGTGGCTGGCTACTAACTGGTGTCAGCAGAATGCTTCAACCGTGTGCGAGGTTAGCTGGAGATAGAAAGCAGCTGTTAGTCCGAACACCGAAGCAGAACCTATGCGCTGCGAAAGCGTGTCGTGGACCGTCGATTCGACATCTGTAGATCCTTTCCTGACACCGCTGAGCCTTTCCCGTTCATTTGGAGCCTGTAGATCCAGAATCGTTCCGTACAGTAGCGCTGTTACATTAGGCTGATGAAAAAATGACAGGTCACATTACAATGCATGCATGATGGGTGACTCAGGCGAACACGTCACTCCTCCCCATAATTTCTCAGTTTCGCCGTACTTGCGTACAAAAAGGCGTGCTTGACCTAAGTATCCAAGGGTACTTGAGACTCGGATGCATACTGTACATACTTACCCAAAGTGCAATTCTGCTATAATAAACTCTTAACGTTAAGCTCACTTGCCGACAGCTGACTCTTCAAGTAGCGATCAAAATCTCGCATACTGTCTTCTAGGAACCTCCGAAAGGCTGCTCGCTCGGAAAGTCCTGAAGAATTCCGATTAAAAGAGATAACAGAAACCGTTGTATAGCGAGGACTGCAAATGGGACTGACATCAGTGGCTAGAATAATGGACGCGGCGGCATCGGCCATGCTGGCCTCTCACCACCACCAGGAAATGGCGGTCTCGGGAGATCGCGCTACAGGTGCGGTTGCGGAGACGATAACCGAGGCGCCTCGAAAATCGCCTCAAAATCCGCCGCACGACGCGGCGGGATCAGCCATGCTGGCCTCTCACCACCACCAAGGAATGGCGGTCTCCGGAGATTGCGCGAGGGGTGCGGTTGCGGAGAGGACACGCCTTGGAAGCTCCGCGCACTCCCCGCAACCCGCGCTCTCCCCGCAACCCGCGCAGTCTCCGCAATCCGAGATCGTTCCTGGCGAGCACGCGGGGAGCGGCGCGCAGGCGCAAGCGCAAGCGCTAGATCCGGCGGAGAAGCGGCTTCTGGAGCTGGGATACCGACAAGAGCTGAAGAGAAGCCTGGTGGGGCTCTGGGGGGAGATGGGGGGAGGGTGGGGAGGGGAGAGAAAGAGGCGGGGGTGTGAAGGAATGAGGGGGTGTGGGGATGGGTGTGGGCGTAGACTTGCATGGCTCTTGAGTCGACCCAAGAGAAGCGGCTTCTGGAGCTGGGGTACCGGCAAGAGCTGAAGAGAAGCCTGGTGGGGCTCTGGGAAGGGAGGGGAGAGTGGGGGAGAGTAAGGGGTGGGGGTGAAGGAGTGAGGGGGTGTGGGTGGAGTGGAGGGGTACACTTGAGTGGCTTGATTCAATTCATGAGAGTCGGCTTCCGATAGAGATAAAGAGGCGCCTGGTGGGGGTCTGGTGGGAGATGAGGGGAGGGTTGGGGGGAGGGAGAGGGGAGGGAGGGTAGACTAGGATGGGTTCTGTCTGATATGAGTCGACTCAAGAGAAGGGGCCTCTGGAGCTGGGGTATCAAAAGAGCTCAAGTGACGCCTGTTGGGGCTCTAATGGGGGATGGATGGGTGGGGAAGGGTCAGGATGGGTCTGCGGGCTGGTGATGCGAGGGTGGGCTAGGGATGAGTCTTGACTCTTGAGGCGAGAGACTCGTGAGAATTGTCAGAGAGCACCTGCCGTCCAGCCCTAACCCCGTCGGAGAGCACCTGCCGTCCGGCCCTAACCCCGTCGGAGAGCACCTGCCGTCCGGCCCTAACCCCGTCCCTGGCTGGCCCAACACCGTGGGAGTGTCAGCAGCAGTGAGAACCCCTACATAATTGAAGAAGGGTTTTGAGACGTCTCAAAACCCCTACATAACGGCCGTGCCCTTCCTGCCTCCCTTTTTCCCCTCCCTGCGTTCCTGCCACCCCCACCTCCCAGGGCTGGCTGGAGATATTCGGCGTGTCAGCAGCAGTGATGAATCCCTACATGACGCCCGTGCCCTTCTTTGGCTTCATCCCTTCCCTGCCACTCCCTCACCACTCCCCCACCGTCAGGGTTGGCTGGAGATATTCGGCGTGTCAGCAGCGGTCATGAATCCCTACATGACAGCTGTACCCTTCTTTGGCTTCGCGCTGCTGCAAGCCGGGCCCGTGGGCGTGGTGTGGCCGTGGGTCATCCTCGCGCCCTTCGCCCTCTGCATGGTGCTTGTCATCGCTGAAGTCTGCTCCTCCTTCCCCGTGAGTCCGCTGCTCTGCTCTCTCTGCTCCCCCAATCCCACAACGCCCGCTGTCCACTATTTCTGGGCTGTCAGCCTGTCGCTCCCATCGATCATGCCCCCGCCGGTGCTCCCCCCATCTGCTCCCTGTCTCCCCTGCAGACTCCCCCCTGTATTTCTGGGCGGCCAGCCTCTCATGTGCTGTTCCCAATCCGCCCCTTACCAATTCGTCCTCGCTACTTCTTTTTCCCCGTTTTCCCTCGGCCATACCGACCTACCTCCTCCCATACCCACCCACGTCCGCCCGTACCCACTGCAGGCATCTGGTTCGCTGTACTTCTGGGCGGCCAGCCTCTTGCCGCCACCCAACTCATGCGCTCCGCCTGTCCTCCCCCCACCTTCCCCATGCACGCCCATCCTCCCTGACCCTCCACCTCCCCCCCCCCCTTTCTCAGACGTCAGGCTCGCTGTATTTCTGGGCGGCCAGCCTGTCACCGCCGCGGTGGAAGCTGCTGGTGGCGTGGGTGACGGTGTGGCTCGAGGTGATTGGTCTCTCTGTGTGCGCCAGCAGCATCGCCTTCCCAGGTATGACAGTCAGGCCCTTCCCAGGTCCCCCGGCGAGCTGTTGAGGCTGCTCTTTTCCAGGTATGCGTGGTGTGGTGTGGTGTTGGCTGTCTTATCGTTCAAGCAGCCGCGGTGGAAGCTGCTGGTGGCGTGGGTGGCGATGTGGCTTGAGGTGATCGCGCTCTCTGTGTGCGCCAGCAGCATCGCCTTCCCAGGTATGACTGTGGGGTCCTTCCCAGGTCCCAGGTGAGCCCCTCAGGCCACTCTTTCCCAGGTATGCATGTTGTTGCTTGCCCCATCCTTCAAAGCCGCACTGCTCAAGCAGACACGCGGGTACATTGGGACTGCAGGTACATTGGGACTGCAGGTACATTGGGACTGCAGGTACATTGGGACTGCAGGTACATTGGGACTGCAGGTGCGTTGGGACTGCAGGTGCGTTGGGACTGCAGGTGCGTTGGGACTGCAGGTGCGTTGGGACTGCAGGTGCGTTGGGACTGCAGGTACGTTGGGACTGCAGGTGCGTTGGGACTGCAGGTGCGTTGGGACTGCAGGTGCGTTGGGACTGCAGGTGCGTTGGGACTGCAGGTGCGTTGGGACTGCAGATGCGTTGGGACTGCAGGTGCGTTGGGACTGCAGGTGCGTTGGGACTGGAGGTGCGTTGGGACTGCAGGTGCGTTGGGACTGCAGGTGCGTTGGGACTGCAGGTGCGTTGGGACTGCAGGTGCGTTGGGACTGCAGGTGCGTTGGGACTGCAGGTGCGTTGGGACTGCAGGTGCGTTGGGACTGCATTGTGGCTCGAGGTGATCTCGCTCTCCGTGTGCGCCAGCAGCATCGCCTTCCCAGGTGTGTTCTGTTTTGAGTTGACTCAAAACACACCTGGCACCTCTCCTCCTAGCTAGCTCGCCTTAATGTCAGTCCGTGCTCTCATCTCCCTGTGCCCCCTTTGTGCAGCGGCGCAGCTGGTGCAGATGATGATGCACCACATGTCAGGCGGGGAGCACCTCGCCTCCTAGCTAGCTCGCCTTAATGTCAGTCCGTGCTCTCATCTCCCTGTGCCCCCTTTGTGCAGCGGCGCAGCTGGTGCAGATGATGATGCACCACATGTCAGGCGGGGAGCACCTCGCCTCCTAGCTAGCTCGCCTTAATGTCAGTCCGTGCTCTCATCTCCCTGTGCCCCCTTTGTGCAGCGGCGCAGCTGGTGCAGATGATGATGCACCACATGTCAGGCGGGGAGCACCTCGCCTCCTAGCTAGCTCGCCTTAATGTCAGTCCGTGCTCTCATCTCCCTGTGCCCCCTTTGTGCAGCGGCGCAGCTGGTGCAGATGATGATGCACCACATGTCAGGCGGGGAGCACCTCGCCTCCTAGCTAGCTCGCCTTAATGTCAGTCCGTGCTCTCATCTCCCTGTGCCCCCTTTGTGCAGCGGCGCAGCTGGTGCAGATGATGATGCACCACATGTCAGGCGGGGAGCACCTCGCCTCCACGGCCTTCTTCTTCGCCCTCTACTGCGCGCTGCTGCTCTCCTGGGCGCTCCTCAACTCCCTCTCCCTCACCTGCATCTCGCGCCTCCTCGATTGCTACGTCTACTTCGCTGTGGCCTACACCATCACCATCGTGAGTCATGCCATTCCCTCACTCCCGTGTTCTGAGGTGCCTCACCTAAACTCCCTCTCCCTCACCTGTGTCTCGCGCCTCCTCGGTTGCTACGTCTAGAATACAATTCCCCTCCCAACCATCCCGTGTACCCTTCGTACCATCAGGTGACAGTGCTGCCAGCAGTAGCAGTGGAGCTCAAACCACCCTCCTTCATTTTCCTCGAGTACCAGTCAGGCTGTCCCATCACAGGCGTGTGCTCACTGCTCCCCTCGCTCATCCTCGCCGGCCTGCTGCCACACTTCTCCTTCTACGGATTTGATTCTGCCGCCCACGTCACAGAGGAGACAAGGAACTCGGACGTATCGGGCCCGAGGGCCATCCTGGGGTCGTTTCTGGTGCAGGTGGTGTTTGGTTTCGCCATCCTCGTCACCTTCACCGCCTGCATCCAGGTGAGAATGTCTCCCTGCATGCACGCCGTCGCATTGTATCGCATCACACCGCATCACACCGCATCGCGTCTCATCTCGTCGCACCTCATCGCATCAAAAGCGCAGCGCATGCATGGCTCGTTGCAATGCGATGCGTGCAAGTGTCTTATGGTCATGACCTGCTTGGTTCATCCCCTCCCCCTCTCCCCCAACAGGGCGACTACCACGCTCTCTTCACGGCCCAGTGCGCACCCTTCATAGATCCCATCATGTACTCCCTTCACGGGAGAAGGCACGCCCTTCATGGATCCCGCTCACTTCACCCAAAGCATCTCTCCTGCCCCCTCCCCCCCCCTTTTCCCTCCCCCCCTCCCTTCCCCTCCTCCCTCCCCCACAGGGCGACTACCGCACTCTCTTCACGGGGGAGGGCTCGTCCTTCATGGATCCCGTCGTGCACCTCCTCATATCCCTCTTCACCGCTCGCTATGGCTCCGCCACCGGCGCCTACGTGCTCCTCTTCCTCATGGTCATCCACTTTTATGCCGCCGGCTTCGGGGTCACGCTCGCGTCCTCGCGGGCCATCTATGCAGCCAGCAGGGATGGCGCCATGCCGTGGTCGCGCGTGTGGCGGACCCTGTCCAGGCGCAACCGCATTCCTGTCAGGGCCATCTGGCTGTCTACCTTCATCGCTATCACTTTTGGCGTCCCCAGCTTCTTGTGAGTCATGTTTGTCTTGCGCTGCTGCTGCTTCGGAGTCACACATCAAAGGCCAGCAGGGACGGCGCCATGGCCTTTTCGCGCGTGTGGAGAACGCTGTCGAGGCGCAACCGCATTCCTGTCAGGGCCATCTGGCTCTCTACCTTCATCGCTGTTGCATCTGGAGTCCCTAGTTTCTTGTGAGCCCCCTTCTAGCCGGTCCTTTGTTTTGTTCGTTTGTTTTTTCTGGTTCGTGCTGTTTTGTTTTGTTTTGTTCTGTTTTGTTTGTTTGTTTTGTTCTGTTTGTTTTGTTTGTTTGTTTGTTTGTTTTATTTTCTTTTCTTTTCTTCTGCTCAATGGTGCCCAGCGATGTTTTGTGACTCCCTCTATGCAGAGCCTCATCCCCTGTAACGCATTCCTCCACCTCCACCCTCTCACCGGTAATCCCCGCAGCTCTCCGACGTTCTTTGGAACAGTGGCAGCGGTGACGTCAGCAGCCTGGCTGGGAACATACGGCATTGTCGTCTTCTTCCGCCTCATCATCCCTCCGCACCGCTTCAAACCTGGCCCCTTCTCCCTCGGCCGCTGCGCGCGGCCGCTCTGCGTAGTGGCGCTGGGCTATATAGTGTACACCATCGGGGTATTCATGGTGCCAATCTTCTACCCTATCACGTGGGAGACCTTCAACTATGCCCCCATTGGTGAGCTTGTGGCTTCGCTTCTCATTCACATGAAATTTCTGAGTGGGTGTCATGGTATTTGATTGCGGAACTATTATTCCCCGCGTAGTTCCCCATGTAGTTTCTTTCTTGGCCGCACTAATACTTGTTCACTTGTTTTCCGTCATTTTGCGTGCGGCACTGCAGCATCACTTCTGCTGATGAGCTTTGTCATCCTATGGTGGATGGTGGATGCACATCGATGGTTTGTTGGCCCAGTTCCATCCGTTACTACTACATCATCAATTATCGAGTTACACTCCACAGCCTCACATCGGCCCCAAGTGTTGCTGGATGAATTGGACCACCACTCGCCTAGCCTACCGCAAACGGTAGACCTATAAAAGGAGGCCATGTATGAAAATATAAGTGTGTATCCCTTGTTTTTTTTTAATGGTAATCTGTTTCTATCATGCTGTCTGACTAGATATGTAGGAGAGCCAGGTTGGCTTATGTATCCCTGATGTTTATTTTACTTTCTTGGCTTGTCCATAATTTGTAGGGTGGATTCCATTTTGTTGTCAGCTTCATATATCTGCATTCGATATTCTGCTCTATCGCGAACATCTAGTCTATTTGCGACAGTCTGTCAGACTGACATGTTCCAGCGAGTGGCGGGAAGTTTTTGAACTCTCGAGGAATGCGCGCTGCGAAAGCAGAGAGTTTGAAGTTTCTCAGGCAAACAATTCCCGATGACCGTGCCGAGGTGGTCTCTGCTCATGCTGCGGTAACCTGTGCGAAGCTTGATCTGAAAATGGCTGCTGATTTCTTTCTCACTGTCCCTCTCTAGCTGACCACAACAGTTTCTTCTGCTCTGTTCTGCCTTTCACCTTATGTAGTGTAACTCCTAAAATCTAGTTTAACTCCTGAGTTATTTTCTGTATCGCAACAGCGGTTTCGGTAGGGTAAGCTTAGCTTGGGCGGCTTTTGCTTTGATTCGTACTGCAGCGAACCAGGCAATCCTTCAGTATCGGTAGTGTTTTATGCTACTCCGCTGAACTTACTTATTCCCGTCGTAGCTTCCGTAATTCACTCATTAGCCTTATTAGCTATCGGTGATTCTGGCTGTTTAGAAAGACCATAGGTCGCCGAGTAGGTAGCTTCGATTTAATAAGCGTATAGGCGATTAGTCAGCTATACAATTACTGATTTTGGCCGTCTACTGGCGTCGAGATAATGGACCAGCCGAGTCACGCTGCCGGTGCAAGCCTTCCAGATATGAAAGAAAACATCAATCCTATCCTATTCTCCTCACCGGTAAGCAAGCTGGAAGTCAAATTGAAAAAAAGTGCATTGATCCTTATGACACGAAAGATTGAAAAGCGACAATTGTTTGCATCCTTGCAGGTGGTGAAAAGCTCTCCGCTACGAGGCGTTCTCAAATCCCAGAGCTCCGTTGACGGAAAACGTCACATCTCTCCGAGCGGACGTCGACTTTCACGCGGTCGCCGCGTGAGCTTCGCCAAGGATGAATGTTCCGTCCGCACCATTTCCCCTCGAGCGAACGAGCAAGAGTAAGTACCATGTCGCTTCGTTTCCCATCCGCTTCTTCTTTTTTAAATCCCGTCAAAACATCGCACTCTAACCCTGCTATCCTGGTTTCCTTCACAGGAATGGCAAGCCAAAGGAGCCGCTTATCATCCCTCTCGACAGCTTTGTCGCGATGCCAGGCGACAGCCCGACGACATTTGGTAACCAGATCGAGAACACGATGCGGTGGGAGGAATTCTCCATCACGCAAGCCGTGCCTAATCTTTGGAACCTCGCAGCGCGTGACTCGTTGGACGGCAAGCAGCTGCCTGCTCTGCCGGCAGCTGCACTGACGGAAGGAACCAGTCAGCCGGCAGCGCAACCAGCAGACGGTCAGAAGGTCGGTGGAAAGCGGCAGCTTCCGGCCGTGGGATTGAGTCCGACCCGATGCTCCCCGCGACTGAAGAAACGACAGGAGATTGCGGCACTGGCAGTCTCCTCGTCGCCGAGACCCCTCTTCGCGATGTCGCCTCCAGCGTCGCCGAAGTCGCCGAAATCGCCCAAAGCCCCTAGGTCGCCGAAGACTTCCAAGGTCGCGGAGTCTGTGTCGCCGAGGCGATCGCCGAGAAATCATGCGAAATCTCGCTTGGCGTTGGAGAGTGCGGGGGAGGTCGCAGAGTCGCACGGGCGAGGGAAGGCGACAGCAGCAGCGTCGCCGGCAGCAGCCTCTCCTAAGCCTGGAGAACGGGCGAATCGGAGGGTGAACACTCGTTGTAAGGACCGACGTAACTTTGAGGAGTGGATTCAGAAGGACGACGGGCTCAGTACCGTCGGTACCGCGGCTGAGGATGCGAAGAAAAGCGGCGGCGGAAACGATCGTGAGAAGGCACCCGTGGAAGGGAAGACTGGAGAGGCTGAGGAAGGAAAGTCGGAGCCAGCGGCTGTTGCCGGCATTGTCCGCAATGCTAGTGCGGGGAAAGGGAGCTCGGGGCTCGTCGACCCAGCCCACGTCGTCGCCGAGAAGCAGAACCCGCCAATGGCGGTCTCGGCAATGTCAGCCGCGACGCCTGAGGGAGCGGCTGGCGGGGAGCAGGCGGCTGCAGCGTGCGACGGAGTGACGCCGGAGGAGGCCGTCGCGCGTTCGGGCTTGCTGTCGTCGTTCCTCAGTCCGGGGCTCGACGACGTGAAGGGCATGGGGCTGGGGTTCTCGCTCACTCCCGTCGACAAGTCCAGGGCCGCGATCACAGAACCCGAACGCGGCGCAGTGGCGGTCACGGCCGCGGCGGCGGCGGCAGCTGAAGCAGCAGGAGAGGGTATCGCTCCCGCGCCTGAACAACTCATGTCGTCGTTTCTGACCCCTGGTGTGTTGGACCACAGCGATGGGGACCTTGACGGGCTGCTCGAGACGCCGGACGGGGCTAGCTCAAGCGTGGGGAGGCGTACGGGCGGTGCTGATTGGTTGGATAGTGCGCTACTGGGCTTGGAAGAGGGTGTTGGTGCTGCGGGTTTCGCGGGTGATGCGGGGAGTCCGCTGCAGCTGGTGGGTGAGGCGGTCGCGCTGGATCCGCTTCCGCGCGTTCCGCTGGATCCGCCTCAGGAGTGCGCGCCGCTGCGTCTGGAGAGCGCGCTGAACGCCGCGCTGTTGCTGCCGGCGCCACTCGCGGCGAACGATCAGGCGGATGGAGCGGCGGCTGTTGGGAAGCTCTCCGGCAATGGTGCCTTCGGCTCCCCGCAGGACCGCATTGCGGGAAAGGGGGGTGGCGGCGAAGGGGCAGAGGGCGGAGCAGCGGGGAGTTACGGTGGGGAAGGTCGCGCGCGCGAGAGCGTGGGGAAGAAGGGGCGGCGGGAAAGCACTGGCACGAGTCCGGAACCGGGTGCTTGGAGGGAGAGCGGGAAGGAGGGCGGCGGAGAGGCGGGGGACGCGGGGGAAGCGGGGGGCAGAGTCGAGGAGATGGCGGGAGAGGAAGAGGCGGCAACTGAGTTTTCCACAATCGGCCGATTCCCCTACCTGACTGCCCGCCCCGCTGTCACCGCGTCCGTGGGCGGGATGGCTCCTATCGAGGCGGGGACGGGCGCGGAGGAGATGGAGACTCCGCCGAGGCGGGTGGCGAAGAGCAGGAGCGGCGGAGGCGGTGCGCGCGAGGCGGAAGGCGGTTCGCCGAGGGACGGGGACTCGCCCATCATGGGTGTGGTGTCCGCCGGCAAGGAGGGCGCGGGCGGCAGCGCCAGGCAGGGCGGAGAGGTTGCGCGGAGTGGGGGGAAACGCGAGGATGCGGAAGATGGAGAGAACGGGGGGGATGAGGGTGATGCGGAGGAGCGGAGTATGGGGCTGGTGGGGTGGAATGAGGGAGTGAGGCGGGCGTTTGAGGATGTGGAGATGGGGGAGGAGCTGGTGGGGGGGTTCGATATGGCGGAAGTGGGCTGGGGGGAGGAGATGGCGGGCGGGGTGGGCGGAGGAATAGAGAGTGCGGAGCAGGTGCGCATCCGCGGCGTCCGGTGGCTCGAGTGGTTCTTTTCCATGGCTGGGGTGAGTGCAGCTCGTGGTGCTGGCTGTGATGTGAAGCAGTGGCATCGTAGTGTGTTGCGTGAGCGTGCGATTCTGGGTCTTCTATCCACCGGTTTCACACTCTTTCGTGATCTCCTGCCCCGCACGCGCGCTCCCCCTCCGCAGATGTCGCTAGAGAAGCGCAAGTCGGGGGTGCTGGAGCAGTCGCCCTGGACTCCGCGCACGCCCAGGGAGCGCGCGGGGGAAGCGAGTGCGGGAGAGCGCCTGTTCCGCCGCTTGTGCCTGCAGCCGCAGGTGAGAGAGGCGAGAGACTAATGACGGCACTGGACAGGTGAGGACTTACAGATTAAGGAGGATAGCTGGTCAGGAAACCTGTCTAGTGCTTCGCTCAGCCAAGCGATAGAGAAAGCGGCATTGTAATGGGAAGGAAGGGAAGGAAGTGATGAGCCAAGGGGGAATGGAAGTGGTTACCAAGAGGCACAGGTCTCCAGCCTGCTGGCATCGTGGCTGGGGCTGTGTTGACTCCGTCACACCGCTGTGCGCTGTTGAGTCGACTCACAAGCCACGTTGCTGCGTGCTGTGCTGGCACGGGTGTGTGTATGTGGGATGGGGGCAGGAGGAGGCAGTGGAGAAGCTGTGCGCGGAGCATCTGGCGCGCGTGGCGGAGGAGCAGCAGCAGACTGACGCGCTCGAGGACGCCATGGCTGCCAGCAGCACAGTACTCGCCCAGCTCGCTGCTGTGAGTGGCCCACGCTCGCGCCCCCTCCCCTCTTCCCACCTCTCATGTCTTTCCGTCGTTCTTGCTCCCTCTCTGTCTTTCCCACTGATTCCCCACACGCGCTTGCACACACACACGCATGCACGCAGGTGCACACTGAAGGTTTCTTGCCTGTGATTCTGCTCGATTTTGACTCTGCGACTGCTCTGTTCTGCTCTTCCCTGTTCCTTCTGCAATTTTGCACTCTGTTCTACTCTGTCGCCCGCTGCTCTGCTGTGCGTGCTGCAGCAAGGCAACCCCGCGCAGCAGAAGGTGCTCAAGGAGCGACTGCTCGCCCTCAAGAGCCTCCTCAGGTGAGGCGGCAGGACGGGATTATTTGGACGGGGCTTCAGGACGGGGGTCAACGCAATGAGCCGGTCGCATCGGATGGGATGATGGGTGCTGATTCTGTTGCCGCCAAATGACTTCTTCACAGCACTCGCACAGTTGGTTCGCACAGTCCATTTGCACATTTTAGATCAGCATGGCCACCAGCTATCCTCCAACATGCTCGTGTGGAACTTGTTCCTCTAAACTGATGTGTGCCGCATGCGTGCGTGGATATGCGTGCTTGTGTGTGCGTGGATACGCATGCGTGTATGTGTGCCCCGGCCATGCATGTGTGGATGGCAGGATGGAGACGAAGGCGGAGTGGCAGAGGGTGCGGGCGCAGCTGGAGGCGGAGAGGAGCCGCGCCCTGGACCACGCCGAACGCATGCTGCAGGTGTGTGCTAGCCTGCTTGCCTGCTTCCCTGCTTGCCTGCTTGCTCGCTCCCCTGCTTGTCTGCTTGCCTGCTTGCCTTGTGTTTTGTGATGTCTCAAAATTGAACCACAGCAAGCTCTTGCTGCATATGCTTGCTTGCCCGTTCCCTGTAAAGCACGCACAGAACCCTGATCCAGCAGCACACAAGAATAGAGATGCCTCTTGCCACCTATTCGCCCCATCGCTCCATGTTCTGAATTGTTTTCCGCCGATCTTGCCTCTCTGTGGATTTCAGGTGGAGCAGCATCGGGTGGTGGAGCGCAGGGCGGCGGAGGAGGCAGCAGCGAGGCGAGTGGGCGAGCTGCTGGCGGACGTGAGGGCGAGGAGGGCCGCGGCAGAGCGAGCGCTCAAGGAGAGGGAGGAGAAGGCAGCGGCGCATCAGCAAAGCCGGCTCCAGGAGCTGAGACAGCAGGTGCGCTTGCTGTTCCGTTTCCTTGAACGCGCCTTGCATCTTCTACGTGCTTTCTGCCTTTCCACTGCTTCTGCTGTGTCAGATCAGTTCATCGGTTGATCTGGTGACGCTGCACCCACCCATCCACCCATGTGCGGCATGAGAGAGGCAGCGTCTGCAGGAGGAGATGGACGCCATGTGGAGAGAGCTGGCCGCCCGCCATGAGGCACTCCAATCTATAGTCGACTCAAATATCCATCCATTCACCCGCCCACACCCATCCACCCACCCATGTGCGGCATGGCAGAGGCAGCGTCTGCAGGAGGAGACGGACGCCATGCGGAGAGAGCTGGCCGCCCGCCACGAGGCCCTGCAGGCCCGCTGCCAGCCCACGGGCGAGCCCCAGATGCAGACACAGACAAGGACACAGTCACAGGCGCGGATACAGTTACAGCCACAGACAGTGGCTGAGCCTGCGCCTGGGACGGCAGAAGAAGGAGGAGGTTTCAGGGCCGCTGCAGGGAAGACCGGGGTGGAAGGTGCTGAGGGAGAGAACACGGGTGCTGTGTCGGACCCTGTCAGAGCTGCCAAGATAACGGAGTTTCTGCAGGTACAGAGCGGTTCTGGGTCCTTGCTGTTGCCACCTGTCCCACTTGATCTGGAGGTTCAATCTGCTCTCCCAGCCCACAGCTCATTTGATTATGCCAACATCTCTCGTGATTCTATCTACCACCCTTGCCAACCGTGCCACTCCTGCCTTCCCCCTGCCAACCCCTGTCTACCCCTGTCTACCCCTGCCTCCCCCTGTCTCCCCTGTCTCCCCCTGTCCCCCCCTGTCTCTCCCTGTCTCTCCCTGTCTCTCCCTGTCCCCCCCTGTCTCCCCCTGTCTCCCCCTGTCCCCCCCTGTCTCCCCCTGTCTCCCCCTGTCTCCCCCTGTCTCCCCCTGTCTCCCCCTGTCTCCCCCTGTCCCCCCCTGTCTCTCCCTGTCTCCCCCTGTCTCCCCCTGTCTCCCCCTGTCTCCCCCTGTCTCCCCCTGTCTCCCCCTGTCTCCCCCTGTCCCTCCCTGTCTCCCCCTGTCTCCCCCTGTCTCCCCCTGTCTCCCCCTGTCTCCCCCTGTCCCTCCCTGTCTCTCCCTGTCTCCCCCTGTCTCCCCCTGTCCCCCCCTGTCTCTCCCTGTCTCCCCCTGTCCCTCCCTTTCTCTCCCTGTCTCCCCCTGTCCTTCCCTGTCTCTCCCTGTCTCCCCCTGTCTCCCCCTGTCCCCCCTGTCTCTCCCTGTCTCCCCCTGTCCCTCCCTGTCTCTCCCTGTCTCCCCCTGTCCCTCCCTGTCTCCCACTGTCTCCCCCTGTCCCCCCCTGTCCCTCCCTGTCCCCCCCTGTCTCCCCTTGTCTCTCCCTGTCTCTCCCTGCCTCCAACTGCCACCCTGCGTGCCACTGGCAGGGGTGGAGGCTGCGTGAGTACCAGCAGTCACAAGACGGCACCCAGGTGGACCTCGTGCTCTCCGTGCTCCACTTTGTCACCCTCAGGTGCGCTGCTCACGAAAACAATCTGGATGCATGGCTGCATGGGTGTGTGCATGGCCGCATGGGGATGTGTGCATGGCCGCATGTGGGTGTGTGCATGGCCGCATGGGGGTGTGTGCATGGGTGCATGGGGGGTTGCATACGTATGCACCATGACTTCTCTATGACTCATTCTCCCTTCGTGGATCCATTGAACTTCTTCACTACGTGCCACTGGTATTCCTCCTCAACCCCTCTCTCTGCTCGCCCCTTCTCCCTGCTCAACCCCTCGCTCTGCTCACCGCCTTAACAGAGTGCACATCGACCTGGCGACATCTTCCTTCTCCCTCTCGCCAGCCATCAACCATTCAGTGGTCGCCAAGGTGCGCTCTGCTCCGACCCTCGCATGTTGTTTCTGCTCCAGCCCTCGCATGCGGTTTCATCCCCTGCCTAGCCTCCTCTCCTTCTCCCTCTCGCCAACAATCAACCACTCAGTGGTCGCCAAGGTGAGCTCTGCTCCTGCCCTCGCATGTCCTTATGCCCCTACTCTCCTATGAAGGCTTTCTGTGAAGTTATTCCACCATCACCCATCTCACGTGATAAAAGAAGCGTTTTGAGACGTCTCAAACCACCATCACGCATCTCACCGTGCGCATCTCACTATGCCCCTCACACCGTGCTCCTCACCCTGTTCCCCTCCTCCCTCCACCATCGCCTCTCTCACCACTCCTCCCCTTTAATGTAACCACATATGACAGAGACACCAGTGGTAGGAACCGAGGGATTTCAACTCACACCCCTTTCACCCTCCCATGTCCTCTCTTCCCCCTCCCCTGCGTCACATGGCCTCCTTCTCACAGCAATTCCCTCTCTTTGAGGTGGTGCCTGCAATGGAAGCGCTGGTGGTGGGGCCTACAGGAGGTTCCTCTCAGCCGCGTTCCTCGCCCCTCACTGCTGCTGCCATCGCCGCTGCTTACCAGGTACCATGCACACCACTGCAGCAGCATAGCTGTAACTCCCAGCATGCACTTAGCAGCTGTGCCATCGCCCGTTGCCGTGCTGCACTGTGTAATGTGCTTCGTTTTATCTTCCTTGGAGCAAGCACAAGCATGTTCACTCAGGCCATCCGAGCATATCGACGACCCTGCCTCGCTTGCATCCTCGCATACCTAGCTATGTGTGCCATCAATCCACCACCATACATGTCATTCTCCCACCCATGCGTGTCATGCAGGGAGTGCTGCTACGAGCAGGGCGCACACACGCGTTGGTGCAGGAGCTGTGGGAGCAGAGGCAGAAGCTCATGAGGGTCATGCCATGCCTTACCATGCAGCCATATGGCACCTCAGGTGAGCTCCAAAAGTGACCTGGGTGGACTCAAATGTCATCCTGTGAGTCAAATCAAGTTGCAGCACCTCCTGCAGGGGCAACTGCTGCCATTGCTGCTGGAGAAGTCTTGTTCTCCACTTCCCTGCAACACATCCTACTCGCATCGTTTGAATCGTTGCATGCTTGCTCTGATTCTACTCTAGAAGTATCAGCTGCTAGACACATCTCTCCTTCCATCTGCCCCCCCATGTGCCCACAGGTGATGTCGTGGTGCGGGCTTCGTTCGTGCACTTTGATCCCTTCACCAAGGTCGTTCTCAGCTGTCGCATCCCCTACCAAATAAGGTACCTGACTGAGCACATTCTTTTCATAAGATACTTCTTATGTTTCATCTCATTCTTCTCATTGTTTCATCTCATCTAAGACACTTCCTGTTCTCCTCCCAATGCCCCCCCTGCAGCGGCATGTCTTATCCATTCATGCGCCCCCACGTGGAGGTGGAGGTGCCTCACAGCCGAAAGCTGCCAGCACAGCAGGTGCAGCACGCAGTGGCAGCAGCAGCAGCGGGGGTGCCTGAGGAGTATGGGCTCATGGCCCGCATGCTGCAAGCGGTGGCAGGTACCCTCCAGACTCTCATTGGGAATTGAGAAACAGCTGTATAACAAGTAGAAGCAGCAGCAGCAGCGGGGGTGCCTGAGGGGTATGGGCTCATGGCCCGCATACTGCATAAGGTGGCCAGTACACTCAAGGTTCTTCTTCAGGAGTGAGGTGCAACACAGCAAGGGGCAGTAGTAGACTCACTGACCAGAGAAAATGAGAGACACAGGCTTGTGACTAGCATGTTGTGGGGCCAGAAGTGATATGCATACTCTTCTAACAGGTAGATGCCAGCATACGGGTCGTGCATGAAATGTGCAGCTTCTTGTGCACAAGAAACATTAACCAGACCTGTTAGGTTAGGAACAACAACCAGTGGCATGGCAAGCCCTTGTGTATTTGATATCTGACACCCTTTTTGTATAGGCTCACAGAACAATGGCTCCCATGCATGAAAAGATAACACCTGAAGCTCCAAGCACAGCTGTTGAATTTGGTAGAATTGAATGAGCAACAAGTACTGGCATCACACATGACAACTGGTAGAATTGAATGAGCAACAAGTACTGGCATCAAACATGACAACTGGTAGAATTGAATGAGCAACAAGTACTGGCATCAAACATGACAACTGGTAGAATTGAATGAGCAACAAGTGCTGGCATCACACATGACAACTGGTAGAATTGAATGAGCAACAAGTACTGGCATCACACGACAACTGGTAGCGCTGTCAGCTACATGTGCATGCCCAGTTGGTGCATGGGGGTGAAGATTCGCACACATATGTACATGGTTACTCGCATCTGGTCCAGTTGCGAAGGAGCTACAAGGGAGGCTTGGGCAAGACATACATCACTGCCCATAACGTCTCTGCCTGTGAATTCATTGTTCGTGCCTCCACTGCCAGTGCACAGCTGCATCCACCCCAACAGCACCATCCTGTTGCGCTCTGCAATCCAGCACTCGAGTTAGAAGAGTGAAGGAGCTACAATTGTGGCTTGGGCAAGCCATCTCTGCCTCCACTGCCCGTTCCTTCACTGTCAGCACACAGCTGCATCCACCCAGACAGCACCATCTTGTTGCGCTCTGCAATCCAGCACTCGAGTTAGAAGGGTGAAGGAGCTATAAGCGTGGCTTGGGCGAACCATTGCTGCCCATGACGTCTCTGCCTTCACTGCCCGCGGCTTCACTGTCAGCACACAGCTGCATCCACCCAGACAGCACCATCCTGTTGCGCTCACCAATCCAGCACTCAAAGCTCACACGCTTCAACGGCCCCCCCTCCTCTCACGCCCTCCCCTCCCGAACCTGCTGCTGATTCTTCTTCCCCTGCTGCGCTTGATGCTGGTATGGACACGGGCTGACAGGTTCGGGTGATGAGAGTCTCGCCCGGGAACACATGCCCGGTGAACCGAACCAGCACGCTGTGGAAGAGGCTCGGGTCACCCCTGCAGCAGGTTCGAAGGATGGCTCGGGTGGCGAAGCCAAGCGTGCAGAGGCCGTGCAGGATCGGGCGAGGATAGCTGGGGTGTTGGACGATGGGAGAGAGGGATTGAGGGTGGGGTATGTGGTGTTGAGGTTGGGATTGAGGTGGGTGGAGGTGGGTTGAGGTGGGTTGAGGTGGGTTGAGGTGGGTTGAGGTGGGAAGGCAACATAGATCGATGAGGTAGAGGCGATTGAGAGGGTGAGAAAATGCAGAGAGCAGGGGAATGGGAGATATAAAGGCAAGGCGCTAGAGCAAAGGCATTGTACCTTTTTAACAAGACACAGCGTATCAAGGCTTGATGGGCTTGGACAGAAGAGTAGGATAGGAGACATTGAAAGAGGGCTAGTTACCCTGCAGTGGCGGCGAATTCAGGGTCGGAGTGGAGGGGGTTGAGGACGCCACAGAGGCGATACAGCAGGGCCTGGTTAGGGGGGATGCGCTCCTCTGCTGATGCATGAGGTGCGGGGCGGGCGGATGGCTGCTTGGGGACTGCGCTGCCATGTGCTGCTGGTTGCTGTGGCGGTTGAGATAGCCTCGCGGAAGCAGCGGGAGTAGCAGGGTGTGGTGTGGTGGGGCAGGGTGTGGTGTGGTGGTCGGATTAGAGGAGAAGCCTCCAGTACCACGCAGCACAATGGATGACCTGATGAATGAGGTTGTGGCATGGCATGGGATGAAATGGAATGGAATAGCACAGGATAGAATGGAAGGTGAGAAGGATGAAAGGGGATGCCATGGCATGCCACAAATAGGGCGGATGAAGGCACATGGAAAGCTATGAATCGACACAATAGCATGCTCCTGCTGCAACAACGGGCAGCCCAAACAGTTAAAACTGCCTCCTACAGTTGAGCAACGTCTCACACACACCTGTTGACTGCCAGCTTGACTCCTCACTCGCGGTCGAACGACACTGTCTCCACATCCACTATGGCCGCCCTGCCCTTGTCCTTCAGGCCCCTCAGGTCCTTCAGGCCCCTCAGGTCCTTCAGGCCCCTCCGGTCCTTCAGGCCCCTCAGGTCCTTCACGCCCTGCCCTTGTCCTTCAGGCCCCTCCGGTCCTTCAGGCCCCTCAGGTCCTTCAGGCCCCTCCGGTCCTTCAGGCCCCTCAGGTCCTTCAGGCCCCTCCGGTCCTTCAGGCCCCTCAGGTCCTTCAGGCCCCTCCGGTCCTTCAGGCCCCTCAGGTCCTTCAGGCCCCTCCGGTCCTTCAGGCCCCTCAGGTCCTTCAGGCCCCTCCGGTCCTTCAGGCCCCTCCGGTCCTTCAGGCCCCTCCGGTCCTTCAGGCCCCTCCGGTCCTTCAGGCCCCTCCGGTCCTTCAGGCCCCTCCGGTCCTTCAGGCCCCTCAGGTCCTTCAGGCCCCTCCGGTCCTTCAGGCCCCTCCAGTCCTTCAGGCCCCTCATCCTCGTGCCCTTTGACTCGATTCAGAACAGAAGCGCACCTGTTGAGTGCGAGCCTTGCGCCTGACTCGCGGTCGAACGACTCGGTCTCCACATCCATTATGGCCGCCCTGCCTTTCATAACCAGCCTGCTATGCTCTTTAGTTGACTCACAACACAAGTACACCTGTTGACTCAAGAAGAGAAGTGCACCTGTCGAGAGCCAGCCTTGCGTCTGACTCGCGGTCGAACGAGACAGTCTCCACGCCCACTATTGCCGCCCTGCCCTTGTTCCTTCCCCCGCATGCTATGCCTTGTAAGCCAAATCCGAACAGAAGCGCACCTGTTGAGTGCGAGCCTAGCTCCTGACTCGCGGTCGAACGACACTGTCTCCACATCCACTATGGCCGCCCTGCCCTTTTCCTTCAGGGCTGATATGCGTGCGCGATTCACCACCTGCCATGGAGTGAAGTGAACACCGAGGGACAGGCATACGGACAGGAAAGAAACGATAACACAGATAAACAACATGCCTTCCTGCCCTTTTCCTTCAGGGCTGATATGCGCGCGCGATTCACCCCCTGCCATGGAGTGACGTGAACACCGAGGGACAGGCATACGGACAGGAAAGAAACGATAACACAGATAAACAACATGCCTTCCTGCCCTTTTCCTTCAGGGCTGATATGCGCGCGCGATTCACCCCCTGCCATGGAGTGACGTGAACACCGAGGGACAGGCATACGGACAGGAAAGAAACGATAACACAGATAAACAACATGCCTTCCTGCCCTTTTCCTTCAGGGCTGATATGCGCGCGCGATTCACCCCCTGCCATGGAGTGACGTGAACACCGAGGGACAGGCATACGGACAGGAAAGAAACGATAACACAGATAAACAACATGCCTTCCTGCCCTTTTCCTTCAGGGCTGATATGCGCGCGCGATTCACCCCCTGCCATGGCAGGGGAAGAGGTACACACGTTCTTGAATGAAGAAGTGTTTTGAGACGTCTCAAAACACTTCTTCAATCAAAAGGTACACACGTTCTTGAATGAAGAAGTGTTTTGAGACGTCTCAAAACACTTCTTCAATCAAAAGGTACACACGTTCTTGAATGAAGAAGTGTTTTGAGACGTCTCAAAACACTTCTTCAATCAAAAGGTACACACGTTCTTGAATGAAGAAGTGTTTTGAGACGTCTCAAAACACTTCTTCAATCAAAAGGTACACACGTTCTTGAATGAAGAAGTGTTTTGAGACGTCTCAAAACTTCTTCAATCAAAAGGTACACACGTTCTTGAATGAAGAAGTGTTTTGAGACGTCTCAAAACACTTCTTCAATCAAAAGGTACACACGTTCTTGAATGAAGAAGTGTTTTGAGACGTCTCAAAACACTTCTTCAATCAAAAGGTACACACGTTCTTGAATGAAGAAGTGTTTTGAGACGTCTCAAAACACTTCTTCAATCAAAAGGTACACACGTTCTTGGCCTGGTACCATGCCCTATAAGTTGCACTGCCCACGGAATGGCTGGAGGGGCTAGGTGGGAACTTGGGGAGGTGGTGCGGGCTCACCTTGGCAGCGGTGGGCAGGGGCCGGAAGAGTCGCACATTGTGCTCTCCGTGCAGCAGTAGAGCCGGATCGAAGCTGGGGGAGGGATGGGAGGAGTGCGAATGTGAGAGGGATAGAGGAGGAGAAAGGTTGAGTGACTGCAATACGAATAGAGGGCGGATGGATGAGGCACACAGGCAAAACGGTGTGGAGTTATCAGAAAAGGATCGAGAGGGGGTGGAGAAGAAGGGGTTAGCAGCATGGTCCCATCCAATTCACTCACACGAGCTCATCGATGACGAGAAATTGTTAATTGACAGAGGAAGGGAAAGGGTGTGGGGGTATACAGAAAGACGCAAGAGAGAAATGAGCGGAATGCGGCTACCATGGTCCCAATCCATCCACTCACACGAGCCCTTCGACAGCAAGGAGTTGCTCGATGAGGGAGGAGGGGAAGAGCGTCCGGCATAGAGAGAGCAGCAGAGCGGAAGGAGCGGAAAGGGGTTACCAGCATGGTTCCATCCCATCCCATCCACTCACACGAGCCCTTCGACAGCAAGGAGTTGCTTGATGAGGGAGGAGGGGAAGAGAACCGCAAAGGTGGGGAGGACCTGCGGTGTGAGTGGCGGCACAAGGAGGAAGGAGGGACATGAGGGATGAAAGGAATGATGGGGAATGAGGGGTAATGATGATGAGGAATGATGGGGAATGATGAAGGGAATGAGAGGTAATGAGTTAGGGAGCTGTCAAGGGCACTGTGTGCCCTCGTGGAACGTGTAGTGAGTCCAGTTTTGAGACGAATCAACATAGAGCTGTTAAGGGCACTGTGTGCCCTCGTGGAAGACCTGCGATATGCGGATGGGGTGGGAGGCGGGATGGATGGTGACTCAAGGATAGTGACGCAGGGAGAGTGACGCAAGGAGGGTGAGTGTAGCCGGCGGGGTGTGGTATGGTGGTGCTTACAAAGAATCGATCCTGGAAGAGGTGATTGTAGGCGAAGGGTAGGTCGATAGAGTCACACGCGTCAGACGAGCAGGCCCCAACGCCCAACGCATATAGTGCCACTTCCCTGCCAGCACACACATGCAGCGACACGCCATACCACATAATGGCACACATGCATAGCAACCAGTGCCACACAAGCCAAGCCATGGCATAACACACATGGGAAATCCATGGCATAACACACATGGCAACGCCATGCCATACACACACATGGCATCGCCATGCCATACACACACATGGCATCGCCATGCCATACACACACATGGCATCGCCATGCCATACACACACATGGCAACGCCATGCCATACACACACATGGCAAAGAAATACATCATGTATGCGAAACTGGATTGTCTAGGTATGCAATGCTCTCCTGCCTTCCACGCTCAACACCACCTATTGCCCCTCACCTTCCACCCTTCTCCCCAACCTTTCTCTGCACCTTCCCTCCCCTTCTCCCCTTCTCCCCTTCTCTTCTCCCCTTCTCCCCTTCTCCCCTTCTCTTCTCCCCTTCTCCCCTTCTCCCTGCATCCCCCATCCCCCCCCCCCCTCTCCCGCCTCCCCCCTCCCGCCGCCCCCCTCCCGCCTCCCCCCTCCCGCCTCCCCCCTCCCGCCTCCCCCCTCCCGCCTCCCGCCTCCCACCTCCCGCTTACTTCTCCGTGAACTCAAATTCCGACTGGACGCTCCGGATTTAGCGGCACATGGAAGCCAATAGAAGCCAGCCATCCGCGTGGCGCGCCGCGCCATGCCATGCACGGGATTCGACACGTGACGGAGACGCAAGGGAGGGGATCGAGAAATGATTGCTCGAAAACGAAGTGTGAAGTGAGATTACTTGATAGAGCCGTGAATGCGAGACAGTACAGCGATAAAAGAACCGAATAACCACTTCACGCTTCGTGAATGAGAGAAGGAATGGTCAAGGAGGTCGCGGCGCTACGGCAACCCGTGTTTTGAGGCGCCTAGAAAAAAAAGAAGTAAACCACTTCACACTTCGTGAATGAGTGGTCAAGGAGGTCGCGACGCTACGGCAACCCGTTCTCGAACTCGCTCGTCGTCCCCCATCGCTCGAATTCCAAAAAGCTGTGCATGGTGACTGTTGACTCGACTTAAAAGCCACCACGTGACAAGATGTGCTCGAATGCTCGAATCGTCCTGTGGATGAGCGACGCAACGCACTGACCTCTTCGAATTCGTACCCAATGACCTTCTCCGCCTCGATTCTCGATGCTCCGCGCGCTGCGGCCATCTCTCAAAGTCAACCTACTAGGCGACATCAGGCGATCGAATCCTAAAGTCCGACGGAAAAAACGTTGGTCTAATTGCTCAGTAATAGCCGTTTTGCAGCCTGAATCTAAGTCTGTACAGCTTGAAGATTATCGGGCGCGTCATACATAGTGGGTTTACAGCTCATGTATCACTCTGCTCAGGCTGGTATGTAATGGTTGAAAGCAGTGAAACAAACGTACCTCTGTAGAACGTACAACATCGTAGTCAACCGCTTAAAATGGACGGCCAGCCAGCAGCATGTTTCAGCTTTTCGTCAACTTCTCGTCATTCTGGCATTGCAAATGCGAACATCTTTCGCCAAACTGCGAAATTTCCGAAACCCTTAGATCGCCTTCCTGAGATGGGGCCCCATTCGGCCCCATCCGAAGTCCCCCCAGCAAAAGTGCACGAAACACGTGTTTGTGGCATGGCAGTAAATGGGCCATCAATGTGGACGTCGCATGAAGCAATCAGCTGAGGGTCGTGCGAAATTCCCTCACGTTAAAGCTGCGGTCTACATACTAAGTTGCGTTTTTGGGGGTATTGTCGATGCACACCCTTTCACGCAGCCTGATTGGGAAGCGAATTCAACTCGTTTCTGAAACACAGGAGCGATGAAGTCAAGCAAGCACGCGAATCCAACCCATTTTCGTGGGTTGGGGGAAGAGTCCGCGGAAGGGCGGAAACCACTTGGGGAGTTCGATATCGGGAAAGGGACCACCCCCCTCTCTCCACCCCCCTCAACCGTTCTATTTGCAGGCTAAGGGGCCGAGTGAAAAACCTGGTCACCTGGTTTTCAAGTGATAAACCAGACCCCCCCGCTCGAAGTATGTAGATCGCAGCTTTAACTTTTCCTGCCGCCGAACGTCAGAACGAGAGTCGCGCTTGACTGTCACGGAACAAAAAAATGAACATTGTCTGGCGCGCATACTAATAGCACAAAGCAATTGGCCTGAGAACCCTAAACTTTTTATCGGATCCCTCCCAGTGTGGTTTCGACCGTCTTATGGGAGCGGGTGGCCGTTGAAAACTGTCGCATGAATGTTCGATGCAAACGCATGTGAGTGGTTGCACCAAATCTTTATTTTTTTTCCGCTCTAATCGACTCCCGTCGCATGGCACGTGTGGTGGGTGTGACCCATATCAATTCTGCCACGCTGGACCAACGGCGCCGTTCCCCCATTCGGCCCCATCTCAGGAAGGCGCCCTTAGTCTCGATTTCGGAAAATGTGGCTGCCACGATTGCGGTCACTCGTCACTGTGCTCACACTTCGTCAAACAGAAAGTACCTGTACACTTCATTCTCAATAGACGTTTACAATCTTTGCCCTATCAAAGGGTGTGAAGCGAGCACATGTTTTTCACCCTGCTCGCCAAAATTTGCCACAGAGGAAAATCGAACTGTATTGGGTCAGTTGGTAACATATCAAAACATCTCACGAAGTGACGGAAGCCAGCGCGAGAACCTTTTGATTAACGGCTGCAAAAAAAACTTGTACTCTGCGTGCAACCGATCCTGCTAAATTAGAAAAGGGAGAATCAAAGTGAATTTACGAAACAATTCGCGTGCAACATCTGAGCATCATGTGTTTACTACCGCGTTGAGCTAGTGCGACAAAGCAGTCACTGTGCCGTGTCACTGTTGGACAGTTCCCGCGATAAACTGCCAATGCATTGCTGCCACACTTCTGCCAATGCATTCATGAGGAGGTCCTTGATGGATTCCGATTGACTTCCTCCTCTTGGCTACCAATGCATTCATGAGGAGGTCCTTGATGGATTCCGATTGACTTCCTCCTCTTGGCGCACGCACGCGGTGAAGTGAACACCTTCAACACCACCGCCTGCCACAGGATCTGTCTCGTCTCTCGTCGCCACCACCCATGGCACGCGTCAAGCCCGCCGTGAGTGCCAGCAGAGTGTGGTGGTGTGGATCAGCAGCAGAGCTTGTCGAGGAGTGAATCATTCTGTGAATGGTGCTACAGCAGCGGTGGCTCTCCGCCCCCGCAGCACCTGCGACCGCACAAGCTCCGGGGGAAAAGCTCGGGTCGCACAAGCGCCAAGCGCAAGTACCGCTAGCTCTCCCCGCAGCAGCAGTGGCCGTGACTGACCTCGCAAGCTCGGGGGCTCGGTCGCAAGCTCGGAGGAAAAGCTCGGTCGCACAAGCGCAAGCGCAAGTACCTCGCTCTCCCCGCAGCAGCAGTGACTGACTGACCGCGCAAGAGCTTGCGGGAAAAGCGCAGATCTCAGGATGGATTTGGAAATAGTACCATCGCCTTCAGATCTAAACATCCCTACTGGTACCTCTGTACTACTACTGGCACTCGAATCATGTCGCCCCAGAATAGCTACCGTACTAACTACATCGCCATGCCCGGTACGAGCATGGGAGCGCCGGCGGGCGTGGCGGCAGGAACGGCGAATCTCCGAGCGGCAGCAGGCTCGGAGCAGCCGCGGCGCCGGGTCACATGCGACGCGACCCTGCTGCTCTCCTACGCGTTGCTGTCCGTCTACCTGGCCCTCCACGCCGCGCTCTCCCACTCGCCTCCAGATATGGCCGCGCGTGAGTGCAGCAGCGGCGGCATGTGTATCATGTGTGCACCGGCGCAGGTGCAGCGTGAACGCCGCAGTCAGGCTGTCTGACTCTCTTACTATCAAATGCCGCAGTCAGGCTGTCTGACCCTCTTACTACAAACACCGCAGTCAGGCTGTCTGACTCTCTTACTATCAAACGCCTCAGTCAGGCTGTCTGACTCTCTTACTATCAAACGCCGCAGTCAGGCTGTCTGACTCTCTTACTATCAAACGCCGCAGTCAGGCTGTCTGACTCTCTTACTATCAAACGCCGCAGTCAGGCTGTCTGACTCTCTTACTATCAAACGCCGCAGTCAGGCTGTCTGACTCTCTTACTACAAACGCCGCAGTCAGGCTGTCTGACCCTCTTACTATCAAATGCCGCAGTCAGGCTCTCTGACTCTCTTACTACAAACGCCGCAGTCAGGCTGTCTGACTCTCTTACTATCAAACGCCGCAGTCAGGCTCTCTGACCCTCTTACTATCAAACGCCGCAGTCAGGCTGTCTGACCCTCTTACTCTCAAACGCCGCAGTCAGGCTGTTTGACTCTCTTACTGTCAAACGCCGCAGTCAGGCTGTCTGACCCTCTTACTATCAAACGCCGCAGTCAGGCTGTCTGACCCTCTTACTATCAAACGCCGCAGTCAGGCTGTCTGACCCTCTTACTATCAAACGCCGCAGTCAGGCTGTCTGACTCTCTTACTATCAAACGCCGCAGTCAGGCTGTCTGACTCTCTTACTATCAAACGCCGCAGTCAGGCTGTCTGACCCTCTTACTATCAAACGCCGCAGTCAGGCTGTCTGACCCTCTTACTACAAACGCCGCAGTCAGGCTGTCTGACCCTCTTACTATCAAACGCCGCAGTCAGGCTGTCTGACCCTCTTACTACAAACGCCGCAGTCAGGCTGTCCGACTCTCTTACTATCAAACGCCGAAGTCAGGCTGTCCGACTCTCTTACTACCAAACGCCGCAGTCAGGCTGTCCGACTCTCTTACTATCAAACGCCGCAGTCAGGCTGTCGGACTCTCTTACTACCAAACGCCGCAGTCAGGCTGTCGGACTCTCTTACTACCAAACGCCGCAGTCAGGCTGTCTGACCCTCTTTCTATCAAACGCCGCAGTCAGGCTGTCGGACTCTCTTACTACCAAACGCCGCAGTCAGGCTGTCTGACTCTCTTACTATCAAACGCGCAGTCAGGCTGTCTGACTCTCTTACTATCAAACGCCGCAGTCAGGCTGTCTGACTCTCGTACTACCAAACGCCGCAGTCAGGCTGTCTGACCCTCTTACTATCAAACGCCGCAGTCAGGCTGTCTGACTCTCTTACTATCAAACGCCGCAGTCAGGCTGTCTGACTCTCTTACTATCAAACGCCGCAGTCAGGCTGTCTGACTCTCTTACTATCAAACGCCGCAGTCAGGCTGTCTGACCCTCTTACTACAAACGCCGCAGTCAGGCTGTCTGACTCTCTTACTATCAAACGCCGCAGTCAGGCTGTCTGACCCTCTTACTACAAACGCCGCAGTCAGGCTGTCTGACTCTCTTACTACAAACGCCGCAGTCAGGCTGTCTGACCCTCTTACTACAAACGCCGCAGTCAGGCTGTCTGACTCTCTTACTACAAACGCCGCAGTCAGGCTGTCTGACCCTCTTACTATCAAACGCCGCAGTCAGGCTGTCTGACTCTCTTACTATCAAACGCCGCAGTCAGGCTGTTTGACTCTCTTACTACCAAACGCCGCAGTCAGGCTGTCTGACTCTCTTACTACCAAACGCCGCAGTCAGGCTGTCTGACCCTCTTACTATCAAACGCCGCAGTCAGCCTGTCTGACCCTCTTACTATCAAACGCCGCAGTCAGCCTGTCTGACCCTCTTACTATCAAACGCCGCAGTCAGCCTGTCTGACCCTCTTACTATCAAACGCCGCAGTCAGCCTGTCTGACTCTCTTACTATCAAACGCCGCAGTCAGCCTGTCTGACTCTCTTACTATCAAACGCCGCAGTCAGCCTGTCTGACTCTCTTACTATCAAACGCCGCAGTCAGGCTGTCTGACTCTCTTACTACCAAACGCCGCAGTCAGGCTGTCTGACCCTCTTACTACCAAACGCCGCAGTCAGGCTGTCTGGCTCTCTTACTATCAAACGCCGCAGTCAGGCTGTCTGCCTCTCTTACTATCAAACGCCGCAGTCAGGCTGTCTGCCTCTCTTACTATCAAACGCCGCAGTCAGGCTGTCTGCCTCTCTTACTATCAAACGCCGCAGTCAGGCTGTCTGCCTCTCTTACTATCAAACGCCGCAGTCAGGCTGTCTGCCTCTCTTACTATCAAACGCCGCAGTCAGGCTGTCTGCCTCTCTTACTATCAAACGCCGCAGTCAGGCTGTCTGACTCTCTTACTATCAAACGCCGCAGTCAGGCTGTCTGACTCTCTTACTATCAAACGCCGCAGTCAGGCTGTCTGACTCTCTTACTATCAAACGCCGCAGTCAGGCTGTCTGACTCTCTTACTATCAAACGCCGCAGTCAGGCTGTCTGACCCTCTTACTATCAAACGCCGCAGTCAGGCTGTCTGACTCTCTTACTATCAAACGCCGCAGTCAGGCTGTCTGACTCTCTTACTATCAAACGCCGCAGTCAGGCTGTCTGACCCTCTTACTACCAAACGCCGCAGTCAGGCTGTCTGACCCTCTTACTACCAAACGCCGCAGTCAGGCTGTCTGACTCTCTTACTACCAAACGCCGCAGTCAGGCTGTCTGACTCTCTGTACCTCATTCCCGTTATCAGGGCGCTATACCTCATTCCCCATCTCCCCATCCTTGTCTCTCTTATCGGTCCCTCCCGCACCCATCATCATCATCCCTCCCTCCGCTTTCTCCTATCTCCGCCCCGGCCTCCACAGTCATTGGCCGGCCCATGTGGCTGTACCACTCGCAGCGGCCGCTGTCGCAGCACAAGGGAGCAGCGGGACTGCTTATAACGGAGCAGCAGGTCAGATCCACGGACGATCTAGGGGTTCGAGACTCTGTAACGGGGATGGCTCATAATGAATCAGAAAAGAGTCGGGTGCCGCGGTGGCAGCAGAACCAGAACCAATGCGTGGGGAAGAGGCGGGGGCGGTGGCGGAGGTGGAGGCGGAGACGGAGGGGGAGGCGGAGGCGGAGGCGGGGGCGGAGGGGGAGGCGGAGGCGGAGTGTGGGGTGGAGGAGGAGCGGCGGGCGGGGGAAGGGTGGACCGCCGCGGCGGTGGCGAAGTTTGGGCGAGTGGAGGTGGAGGGGGCGGGCGCGGTGAGGGCTCTCGCCAACCAGCGCACGTGCTTCTCCGTGACTGGTGGGCCTGGAAAGATGGGGGCGGCGGTAAGGGGATGCGATGCGAGGAGCAGTTAGCTTCGCCGTGACACAGCTCGCACCTCGCACCTCGCAGCTCGCAGCACACAGCTAATCTTCTTTTTTGCTTCCCAGATACTCACGCTCTTACTCCTATGTTTGGTTCCAGGCCTCCTGAGAAAGCATTATGTGCACTTTCTAGCAATGCCATGATGACCCATGCCTCGCATTGGTTTGCACGTGCTTGGCTTGCGTGGTCTGTCGCTGCATCCCTGTCGCTGCTGTTGCTGCTGTTGCTGTTGCCGCTGCTGTTGCTGGTGTTGTTGGTGTTGTTGATTCCGCTGCTGTTGCTGGTGTTGTTGCTGCTGCTGCTGCTGCTGCTGCTGCTGCTGCTGCTGCTGCTGCTGCGTTGCTGCTGCCGCTGCTGTCGCTGCCATTGCTGCTATTGCTGCTGTCGTGCCTGTTGCTGCTGTCGTGCCTGTCGTGCCTGTTGCTGCTGTTACATGTGGCAGCATTCGATGAAGTTGGAGACGCGTTCGACGTTGGTTGCAGGTGCGTCAGTAACGGGCAGGTGGGCTGCAGAGACCTTAGGGAGCGGGAGAAGCGAGCGGCGTTGGTTGCAGCAGGTGCTGTGTCCATCGCACTTCCCTCTCTCCTGCTCCTCTCCCTCCCCCTTTCCCCGCATGCCATGCCATGCCATCCTTACCCAAGTACAACACCCATTGTCCCATGACATGCGCACTCCACCTCTCTCCTCCCCGCCTCTTTGCCTGCCTCTTCAGCCTCGTGCAATCGAGCATTCCTCTTCACTCTCCATCGCCGCTCTCCACTCTCCATCGCCGCTCTCCACTCTCCATCGCCCCTCTCCACTCTCCATCGCCCCTCTCCACTCTCCATTGCCCCTCTCCACTCTCCATCGCCGCTCTCCACTCTCCATCGCCCCTCTCCACTCTCCATCGCCCCTCTCCACTCTCCATCGCCCCTCTCCACTCTCCATCGCCCCTCTCCACTCTCCATCGCCCCTCTCCACTCTCCATCACCCTTCTGCGTTCTCCCGCAGGCAGCGGGCGTTCTTCGTGGCACTCCTCGCATTTGACACCCTCGCCAACCGCACCCTCACCACCAACACCACCAGCGGCAGCAGCAGCAGCAGTGCCAACAGCAGCAGCAGCAGTGCCAACAGCAGCAGCAGCAGTGCCAGCACCCGCGGTAGCAACAGCAGCACCAGTGAGGGCATCAGCGACAGCGGGGTGGGTGGGGACGACGCGGAGAAGCGGCGGATAGTTCCCAGGAGAACGGCGAGAGTGGCAGAGGCGCCGGCATGGGATGATGCTGCTAACGGGTGGACTGACCTGCGACTGGCAGCTTGAGTCACGTACCGCCCCTCCTCTTCCTCACATCAGGTGCTCTCCTCTCTCTAGAAAGGTCCTTGTATTTAGACAGCCCGGGTAGAAAAAGGACATACATATTTTGAGACGTCTCGAAAGTCCTCTCTTGGACGGTCCTTGTATTTAGACAGCCTGGGTGCAAAGAGGTAGACATGTACCAACAGCCTAGCACGCTACGGCAGCTCTAGCTGCGAATGGGCCTTTGAATCAATGCACGGTCAAACAGACAAGGTAAGGCCATGCGTACTAGCAAGATACGTCCTACAGTTACGGCCCCACAACCCTACAGGTCCATGGGGGTGCTATCAAATAGAACAGCTGGGCCTCACTGAGAGGTGCGGTGCGGCCTTGCATGCAGCCTGAGACGTCTCAAAATTACTCTAATATCACGTGGCTAACTGCTTCGCTGCATTGGTGCTAGCCGAGAGGGTTCACGCGTTGTAGAAGAGTGAGGAGAGGTCCCCCTGGAGCGACCGTCGCGAGAGAGAGGAGAGAGCACATTGGGTTGATTGTCATTTAGCGATGGGAGTCGCCCTGGAGCGATGGCCATGGGTTGATTGTCATTTAGCGGGGCAAGAAGCCTCTACTATCCGATTGGTCGTTGCGTGAAGTGGCTTTTGAGTTGATTCTCTCGCTTCTCCTCTGCCTGCGCCACACTCAAACACCCCTGCCCTCTCTCTCTCTTCGCCCCCTCTCCACTTGTCCTATGGGCGCCCCCTGCTCTGCGGCTCCTTGTGGAATCCATGCGTCCTATGGGGGGTACATGCGTCCTATGTCATCTATGCATGCCCAGGTGTGCTTCACAGCGCCCTTCCCCGGCCCCTACGTTCTCTCGCTGCATCTTCTCGTCACCAACGCCTGTCAGATGCGCACCACTCTCAACAGAATCTACAACCAAGGCTACCAAAAGTAGGTCCTACCAGCTGCTCCTCCCCATGTGAGCACCCATGTGAGCACCCGTGGGATCTCATGTGAGGACCCATGGGATCTCATGTTCCTAGGATGTCAGATGCGCACTGTTCTCAACAGATTCTACAACAGAGGTTACCAAAAGTAGGTCCTGTAGTGGGTGGGGATGCACAGCCAGCAGCCACACTGAACCCGAACCCAAAACCCCAAATAGTAAGCCCTGTTCGTGTCCGTGCGTGCGCGCGCGCTGTGTGTGTGTGTGTGTATGTGTGTATGTGTGTGTGTGTGTGAGTGTGTGTGTGTGTGTATGTGTGTGTGTGTGCATGCACGCATGCATGTCTGCGTGTGAGCATGTGAGCATGCATGCGTGCATGCATGTCTGTGTGTGATCATGTGTGCATGCATGCATGCATGTCCGCGTGTGAGCATGTGTGCATGGTTGCACTGTGATTTCTCTGCTAGTAAGACTACCTTTGGCTGCTTGCTTCCATGCATGCATGTACTCGCACACTCATGGAAATCTCCTGCAGCATTTGGGAATCACTTTTGAGAATTCTCAAAAGTGATTCCCAAATTTGGCTGCTTGCTTCCATGCATGCATGTACTCGCACACTCACGGAAATCTCCTGCACCATGCATGGGCACGCACACCACTACCCTGACCTTCCTCTTACTCCCATAATCCTTCCATACATCTTCCAGGAGTCCGCCGTGTTTTGAGTCGACTCAAAACACACATCCTCTTACTCCCATAATCCTTCCATACATCTTCCAGGAGCCCACCGGCATTCTCTCGTAAATCTCCCAATGTATACCATCAACCCCTCACACACCCCTCACACACCCCTCACACACCCCTCACACACCCCTCACACACCCCTCACAACGACCAACCAAGACATTGCCTACCCTCATGCTTCCCCGCCCGTGCATGACCCGGCGTCACATCACTGCTCACCCGTGAAGCTATCGCCTCGTGGCCCTTCGCAAGCTGCAGGTCTCCAGCCCCCAGCCGTACTCCCCAGACGCGCTCAGGTGAGCGTGGTGTCTCCTCAGGTAAGATGAGTCTCATCGCATCACACGCGGATTGTTTCTGAGTCGACTCAAAAACAGACTCCCTTCGTGAGCTCCAGCCCCCCGCACAAATTTCCAGACGCACTTAGGTAAGCGTGATAACTCATCTCATTTCTTGATTAAACGGCAAGAAGATGGAGTAAGAAACGAGATCCTCAGAATAGAGTAGACTGTAGACAGGCAGGCCGGATGTTGTAGGCAGGCAAGGCAGGCCGAATGCTGTAGGCAAGCAGGCAGAAGAATCCTGTGGACATGCAGTAACCTTTATCAAAACCAAACAAAGCCAACGCAGAACCAAATCAATGCCAAGATCAGCCAGTCGGGTCGAGGCAAACCCTCCCTTCCTTCCACCAACCATCTCTGAAATGCACAGAAAGAGCCTCCCCTGGTGCACGCCTGCCTTGCTGCGCTCGTCCGGCAACGAGGGCTACTGGAAGGACCAGCAGTGGCGCCCCCACGCGTGCCGCCTCAAGGCCGTAGAGCCGGTCGATGCCCTCCAGTGCTTCCACCGCAAGCAGCGTGTGCTGTTCATGGGTAAGAGGGGAGGGGGGGGGGGGGGGGGGGGGGGGGGGGGGTGCTGATGGACACGTGCCGCATGCTGCTCACGGGGGGTGCTGAGCAGTGGCGCGTGCTGGCTGACTTTTGAGTCGACTCAAAAGTTCTCACGGGGGGTGCTGAGCAGTGGCGCCCCCACGCGTGCTGGCTGACTTTTGAGTCGACTCAAAAGTTCTCATGGGGGGTGCTGAGCAGTGGCGCCCCCACGCGTGCTGGCTGACTTTTGAGTCGACTCAAAAGTTCTTACGGGGGGTGCTGAGCAGTGGCGCCCCCACGCGTGCTGGCTGACTTTTGAGTCGACTCAAAAGTTCTCATGGGGGGTGCTGAGCAGTGGCGCCCCCACGCGTGCTGGCTGACTTTTGAGTCGACTCAAAAGTTCTCACGGGGGGTGCTGAGCAGTGGCGCCCCCACGCGTGCTGGCTCAAGGCTGTGGAGCCGGCTGGTGCTCTCCGGTGCTTCCATCGCAATCAACGCATGCTGCTCATGGGTGGGTACGCCGAGGGGGGAGAGGGTAGGGAGGGGTGTGAATGAGGGATGCATGCCGCCTCAAGGCCGTAGAGCCTGTCGATGCCCTCCAGTGCTTCCACCGCAAGCAGCGCATTCTGTTCATGGGTGGGTGGGGCGTGATGCAAGGGTAGAGCGCCACTGGGCCGCCACCAGTGGCGCCCACACGCAAGGCCGTAGAGCCGGCCGCAATCAGTGCCCTCCAGTGCTTCCACCGCAAGCAGCGCGTGCTGTTCATGGGTACGTGGGTGCTGTTGATGGGTAGGGGGTGTTAGTGGGTATGTCATGTGCTGCTGGTGGGTATGTCATGTGCTGCTGGTGGGTATGCCATGTGCTGCTGGTGGGTATGTCATGTGCTGCTGGTGGGTATGCCATGTGCTGCTGGTGGGTATGTCATGTGCTGCTGGTGGGTATGTCATGTGGTGCCTATTCTCTGCTTGAACCCCTCCTTTGGCGCAACCTCCTTCACCCCCTCCCTCCCCACCTGTCGTCTGTGCATGCGGGTACGTCATGCGACTCAGAGATCCGCTTTTTCTTCGGCTTCCTCCACGCCTTCCTCCCCATGTAATGCCATGTGCTGCCTGTGCTGTTCTGCAAGAGTAGGAAGAGGTTCGACCGCAGCAAGCCTACATGTAATGCCATGTGGCGCCTGTGCTGTTCTGCAAGAGTAGGAAGAGGTTCGACCGCAGCAAGCCTACATGCAATGCCATGTGGCGCCTGTGCTGTTCTGCAAGAGTAGGAAGAGGTTCGACCGCAGCAAGCCTACATGCAATGCCATGTGGCGCCTGTGCTGTTCTGCAAGAGTAGGAAGAGGTTCGACCGCAGCAAGCCTACATGCAATGCCATGTGGCGCCTGTGCTGTTCTGCAAGAGTAGGAAGAGGTTCGACCGCAGCAAGCCTACATGCAATGCCATGTGGCGCCTGTGCTGTTCTGCAAGAGTAGGAAGAGGTTCGACCGCAGCAAGCCTACATGCAATGCCATGTGGCGCCTGTGCTGTTCTGCAAGAGTAGGAAGAGGTTCGACCGCAGCAAGCCTACATGCAATGCCATGTGGCGCCTGTGCTGTTCTGCAAGAATAGGAAGAGGTTCGACCGCAGCAAGCCTACATGCAATGCCATGTGGCGCCTGTGCTGTTCTGCAAGAGTAGGAAGAGGTTCGACCGCAGCAAGCCTACATGCAATGCCATGTGGCGCCTGTGCTGTTCTGCAAGAGTAGGAAGAGGTTCGACCGCAGCAAGCCTACATGCAATGCCATGTGGCGCCTGTGCTGTTCTGCAAGAGTAGGAAGAGGTTCGACCGCAGCAAGCCTACATGCAATGCCATGTGGCGCCTGTGCTGTTCTGCAAGAGTAGGAAGAGGTTCGACCGCAGCAAGCCTACATGCAATGCCATGTGGCGCCTGTGCTGTTCTGCAAGAGTAGGAAGAGGTTCGACCGCAGCAAGCCTACATGCAATGCCATGTGGTGCCTGTGCTGTTCTGCAAGAGTAGGAAGAGGTTCGACCGCAGCAAGCCTACATGTAATGCCATGTGGCGCCTGTGATGTTCTGCAAGAGTAGGAAGAGGTTCGACCGTAGCGAGCCTACAGATCAGCGCGTACGCGCGTTTCGGCCGGAGCCCTCATCAGCGCCATCTAATGCCCATGTAATGCCGTGTGGCGCCTGTCCTGTTCTGTTGAACCCCCTCCTTTGTCACTCCCTCCCTTGTCACCCCCCTTCTTTGTCACCCCCTCATTTGTCGCCCCCTCAATTGTCACACCCTCCCACGGCAGGTGATTCAGAGATCCGATTTTTCTTCGGCTTCCTGCATGTCTTCCTCCCTGCACTCTCACGCGAGGCCTATGTTGACTCCCAGAAGGTCAACATGAAGGCAAGCCAGTAGCTAGCACTTACTGTGTGTTGCTGCCTGCACGCCCGCCTGCATGCCTGCCTGCATGCCCGGGGTCTGGTGTGTTGCTGCCTGCATGCCCGCCTGCAGCCAGTCGACACCATGCATGCTCTGTACCATGATTGTCTTGTACTGCCTCGTACTCTCTTGCATTGTCTTGTACTGCCTCGTACTCTCTTGCATTGTCTTGTACTGCCTCGTACTCTCTTGCATTGTCTTGTACTGCCTCGTACTCTCTTGCATTGTCTCGCACTGTCTCTTGCATTTCGTCCCCGTCTCTTTCCATACGTGCCTCTCTGTGCCCTGCTCTGCCCACCCCATTTCACTCTTCAATCAAACCAACCTACGTGCCAAATCTCTGCCTGTCTGCCCCTGCTGCGGCCGTATCTGCCCCCAAAAGGGTGTCCACGGCTTCTATGCCTCTCCTGAAAAGGGGTTTAGCCCCTTCAATGACAGCGAGGGGAGTGGATTCGACCAGCTCTTGCAGACACGTGTGCGCAGACCCTATATAGGGGACACCATGTTCTATGGCTCGCTCTACAACGGCTTTACACACATGAGGTGAGCCACGGACCCCATGTGCATGTGCAGATGCCTGTGCAGCAGCATGAGCGCACACCCTATATAGCGGACGGACACCATGCTCTATGGCTCGCTCTAATACGCAAAAACGCAAAAAACGCTTTTGAGTCGACGCAAAAACGCTATTGAGTCTGCTTTTGAGTCGACTCAAATACGAGGTGAGCCACGCATCCCATATAGCGGACACCTTATGTGCAGATGCCCGTGCAGGCGCCTGTGCAAATGCCCGTGCGCGGACCCCATATAGCAGACACCTTATGTGCAGATGCCCGTGCGCGGACCCCATATAGCAGACACCTTATGTGCAGATGCCCGTGCGCGGACCCCATATAGCAGACACCTTATGTGCAGATGCCCGTGCACGGACCCCATATAGCAGACACCTTATGTGCAGATGCCCGTGCGCGGACCCCATATAGCAGACACCTTATGTGCAGATGCCCGTGCGCGGACCCCATATAGCAGACACCTTATACCATGGCTCGCCCTGCACAGGCTTCGTGCACACGATGTGAGAGCCTGGGGAGCTAGGTGCTACGCTCGACGTGAAACAAACACCTTCTGGTCAACGGCTTGCCTTCTGGTCAACACCATGCCTCCTGCACCATGCCTCCTGCACCATGCCTCCTGCACCATGCCAACAGCCTCGCTGTCTTCTTCTGCTCGCCCATTCCGGACTTTGGTTTCACTCTCAATGAGCACTGCACCCTCCACTGTTGTTCCTGCTGCTTAAGCGTTTAGCCTGCACCATGCCATTAGCCTCTATATCTTCTTCTGCTCGCCCATTCTGGATCTTTGGTTTCACTCTCAAAGAGCGCTGCACCTTCCGTTTCTTCTCCCAGGTTGAACGTCACCAGGGGCGGCAGGGCCTTTGTGTTCAATCTGACGTACGTGGCACAGATGGGGTCCATACAGGAGCCTCAAAAGCTGCACCTCCCGTTCCCTTGCCCCTCCTAGGTTCAACATGACCAGAAGAAGCGGCCGCGCCTTTGTGTTCAATCTGACATACGTGGCACAGATGGGGGCGGTGCAGGAGGTGCTGCCAGCGTGGATGTTCAACACCAGCCTCCTGGGAGACGACGTGCTGAGCCGCCCAGACACTCCCTTCCGACTCGTTGCCTACAGCTCCTTCCTGCATGATGTCACCACACTCAACTCAACACTGGACTACAGAAGAGTGGCATGTGCGTGCATGGAGCCAAAACACACATGCGTGGAGGCAGTGCCGGCTGTGCTTTTGCTCTAGCAACGCGCGTGCCTGTGCTCTAGCAACGCGCATTCGTCCAGAGCACCTCTATTCTGTTCTCAGTTTCTTGTGTGCTATTCTTGTTTTGAGGCGCCTCAAAACCAGTTTCTTGTGTGCTATTCTTGTTTTGAGTCGACTCAGAACCAGTTTCTTGTGTGCTATTCTTGTTTTGAGTCGATTCAGAATCAGTTTCTTGTGTGCTATTCTTGTTTTGAGGCGCCTCAAAACCAGTTTCTTGTGTGCTATTCTTGTTTTGAGGCGCCTCACAACGAGTTTCTTGTGTGCTATTCTTGTTTTGAGGCGCCTCAAAACCAGTTTCTTGTGTGCTATTCTTGTTTTGAGTCGACTCAGAACCAGTTTCTTGTGTGCTATTCTTGTTTTGAGTCGATTCAGAACCAGTTTCTTGTGTGCTATTCTTGTTTTGAGGCGCCTCAAAACCAGTTTCTTGTGTGCTATTCTTGTTTTGAGGCGCCTCACAACCAGTTTCTTGTGTGCTATTCTTTTCACGCTATAATGCTATTGCAATCCTCCTCGTTCTTTGCAATCCTCCTCGTTCCACAGTCGTACTCCCTCTCTCGTTCTCACACCTGACTGCTGTCTCATGTGCCCTTGCATGCTGGCTGCAAAATGTTTCTCTCCTTGCCGTCTCATGTGCACTCTGCTCCCCATGTCTCACCCAGGCATGCACCTGCTGCCCGTCATACGCCAACACGTGCAGAACGCGCAGCAGGTGACCTTCTTTGGCCCGTGGGCAGCCAGAGAGGACATCAAGCCGCGCTGGCTGATCAACCGAAGCGACAACGTGCGTGGCATGGCCTTCGAGGAGGAAGCTTCCAGGTGGGTGGTGCTTCAAGAGGAATATTCCCAGTGGGTGGTGCTTTCGCATCATGTCGCTCACCTCATGTCACACTCACATCGCTAAGAACTGAACCAATTGTTGAATCACAATCTCCACACAATTCCAACAGCAAGTGACTACACATGATTTAGGGCAGAGCAAAGATTGACAAGGTGGTGGCGATGCCAGCTTCATGCATCAATAACATCAATAAGTGGTTTCCTTCTGAATTCATTGATTGTGTGAGGTGGTACACAGCAGCAAGTCTGTTCATTGGACTGAATGCCCTTGAAATAATCTCCTTGCTTCCTACTGTGATTTGCTACCCTCTTATTGGTGGTGCTCTATGCTTTTCAGGCTGCTGCCACACGAAGGATTTGAAAGATTTGTGCCAATGACTCCTGTCACGCTTCCTCGTCCTGACTTGACAGATGACAGCACGCATTACTCGTGGATAGTTACCCTCGCCATGCTGGATATTTGGTTCACCACCGCCTGCTTAGAAACATGATAGTTTTTGCTAAACTAGGTACCGTACTTTCCCGGATATAGGACCCTCCGCTAAAAGAGTCCCTCAGGACTTACGTGCCGGGGGGGGAGGAGGGTGTTAGAATACATATTATTCTTATGTAAATGCATGTATAGCTAGTAGTGTAGGGCCTTGGTGGTATACCCCCCTTTGCCACCTTTCCTATATCTTGTCTCTCCTTCCATATTGCAAACCCTCTTTGTTTTGCCAAACACCTCTCGCTCACAACTCTCGTACTCACGCTATGGCTACTAAGGACATTCCTCCCTAGTCTACTAAGTTGGTGTATGCTTTTTTAATACCAATCTGTGAGGTCTCCCATTTCTTCAAAGGTTATTTTCCTCTACATTCAGCAGGCAACTTAACAGTTTACTACAGTGACATACATGTCAGATTCTTAAGTGTCACATGTGAACGCAGTTACATTACCTAAAGCATGAGCTATGTTAACTATGCCACGGTGATTCCTCAGGTAGTGCCTGCATGGTTTATGCTAACTACCTACTCATCATCCCACTTGTTGTAGGCAGTGGGGTCGTCAGGGTCATGATTGAGCTCATCAACCTCTGAGTCAACGCCTTCTTCATTATCATCATCACCAGCATCCACAGTGTCGGGCTGGTGGGCTGCGTAGAGTGGGTTGACCCACACTTCCACCATTGCAGCCGCATTCACGTTGACTGCCACCTCAACCGCTGCTGCATCACGCATTTGGGCGAGGATGAGGTGGTCCTCGCGACCATCAGGTCTGCTCGTGATGCCACACGTCTTGAATGACCGCTCGATGAGGTCCGCCGGCACCGCCGCCCAAGACTCCGCAATCCAATTGAGGACGAGCTCGGCCTGAGGCTTGCGGAGATTCCCTGGGGGAACGGAGCTGGCAGGGAGAGAGAGAGAGAGAGAGAGAGAGAGAGAGAGAGAGAGAGAGAGAGAGAGAGAGAGAGAGAGAGAGAGAGAGAGAGAGAGAGAGAGAGAGTTGATTCCCTCCGATGCACAAGGGGACCTCAAGGGGGAACCTTTGAGAAATACTAAGCGGTTTCGTGGAATTTTATCCTCAGGTTCGTCGAAGCCGGGTTCCGACACTATTGGTCGTTGAGTTTCGAGTTTGCTTTCACGTCTGTTGTCTGTTGTGCGCACCCTGCGGCATCAGCATCAGATTTCTCTGGCTGGATGTACAGCTGTAAGGGTTGCACGGTAATTCAAGTTGAATTTTGTCTGTAGTAAGCCAAGGTTCGGGCCAAGGCTGGCGAGAGTTGTGGTTTGTTGTGTTGCCGATGCGATGTTCTTGTGCAGCCAAAGTGCTACTGAACAGGGCCTTTGTCAGCACCTTATTGGCGGAAAGGTGATGGTTCTGAAGTCAACACAGAGTAGCAAAGATTCGCCTGAGGAGTATGGGCTCATGACCCGCATGCTGCCAGCAGCGGCCTGCACTCTTGGCATGCTTCTTGGGAATTAGAGATCACAGTCCAACAAGTAAAGAGCAGCGGCGGCAGGGGGGTGCCCGGGGCATACAGGCTCATGGCCCGCATATTCTGCAAGAGGTGGCCCGCACTCTGCACACTCTCCTTGGGAAATATACAGTTGCAATACAAGGATTGAAGAGCAGCGGCAGCAGAAGGGTGCCTGAGGGATACCGTCACCGTCTCATGGCCTGCATTTTCCAAGAGGTGATCGGCACCGTCTGGAACCGGATCGACCGGGTGGGGAACCTAAACCCTCAACACTCTTCTTCTGGAAGTGAAGTGTAGTATGGAAGGTGAGGAGAGGAGCAGTAGTAGACTCAGTAACCAGAGGCACAGGCTCTTGACTGGCATGATTTGCAAGGCCAACGGCAGCACCATGCATGCTCTTCCCGCAGGTGGATCACAAGTAGGCTCATGGGCCTTGCTTGAAATGTGCAGCTTCTTGTGCACAGGAAACCTTAACAAGGCTAGTTAGGTTAGGAGCCAGAACCAGTGGCAACGCTTGTGTATATGACACCTAGGTAACACCCCTTTACGTATGGACTTAAAAGAGTGATTGCTTGCATGCATGAAAAGATGCCATCTCCAGCTCCAAGCACAGCTGTTTCATATTCTTTCCTAGCCAGCTACCAGGCACATACGGTACAATCAGCTCAAGACCAGAGATTGCATGTACACTGCCATGGGGGGAACTCGTGGAATTGAATGATCAACAAGTGTGGCTCCACATACGTGACTGTTGGTATCATTGTGGGCTACATGTGCACGCACTGTCGGTGCATGAGGGCAACGACTCGAGTGCGTGGGGCTATGAGAGTATTGTCATATGTACAATGGTTGCTCGCATCTGCTACTGGAGTGAAGGATCTACAAGCGTGGCTTGGCCAAGCCGGTTCCGCCCGTAACATCTCTTCCCGTGAATTCATTGTCCGTGCCTTCACTGTCAGCACACAGCTGCATCCACCCAGACAGCACCATTCTGTTGCGCTCTGCGATCCAGCACTCAAAGCTCACACGCATCAACGGCCTCCCCCATGCTCCCACGCCCCCCTCTCCCGATCCTGCTGGCTCTTCTTCCCCTGCTGCGTTTGATGCTGGTATGGACACGGGCTGCCAGGTTCGGGTGATGAGAGTTTCCCCAGGAAACACATGCCCGGTGAACCGAACCTGCACGCTGTGAAAGAGGCTCGGGTCGCCCCTGCAGCAGGTTCGGAGGATGGCTCGGGTGGCGAAGCCGAGCGTGCAGAGGCCGTGCAGGATCGGGCGAGGATAGCTGGGGTGTTGGGGATGAGTAGAGCAAGATTTTGAGGTTGGGGGTAGAGGGAAAATGGAGGTGGGTTGAGGAGGGAAGGCAACATAGATTGATGAGGTAGAGGCAATGGAGATGGGGAGACAATGCTGAGGGCAGGGAATACAACTAAGCTGAGTGGGCAGGTAACAGGTTCCAAAGACAATGGGAAGAAGAGCAGGATGGTGGGCATCAGAAATAGGGCTAGTTACCCTGCAGTGGCGGCGAATTCAGGGTCGGAGTGGAGGGGGTTGAGGTCGCCACAGAGGCGGTACAGCAGAGCCTGGTTGGGGGGGATGCGCTCCTCTGCTGATGCATGGGGTGCGGGGCGAACGGATGGCTGTCTGGCGACTGACGCACTGCCACGTGCTGGTGGTGGTTGTTGTGGTTGCTGTTGCGGTTGAGATGGGTTCGTGGAGGTGGTGGGAGCGGAAGGACGTGGCGTAGTGGCAGGTGTGGAGGCTAGTTTGGAGGAGAACCCCCCGGCACCACGCAGCACAATGGATGACCTGATGGGGTTGTGGGATGGCATGGCATGGCATGGCATGGAGTGGGATGGCACATGATAGAATGGAAGGTTAGAAGGATGAAAGGGGATGCCATGGCATGCCACAAATAGGGCGGATGAGGGCACATGGAAAGTTATGATACAACATGAAAGATATGATCTGACATGATAGCATGCTTCTGCTGCAATAATGGGCAGCCCACACGGTTAAGCTCCCTTCAGTCGAGCAACGTCTCACACTCACCTGTTGAGTGCCAGCCTGGCGCCTGACTTGCGGTCTAGCGAGACCGTCTCCACATCCACTATGGCCGCCGGCTCTGCCCTTGTTCCTTCCCCTGCATGCTACGCCTTGTAAGTCGCCTTATAACAGAAGCGCACCTGTTGAGTGCCAGCCTGGCGCCTGACTCGCGGTCAAATGAGACTGCATCAACTTCCACTATGGCCGCCCTGCCCTTGTCCTTCAGGTCCCTTATTCACTTGAAGTAGACTCGGAACAGAGGCGCACCTGTTGACTCAGAACATAAGCGCACCTGTTGACTGCCAGCCTGGCGCCTGACTCGCGGTCGAATGACACCGTCTCCACGTCCACTATGGCCGCCCTGCCCTTGTCCTTCAGCGCTGATATGCGTGCACGATTCACCACCTGCCGTGGGGTGAGGTTGCGAGGTGCACAAAGGGCGAGAAACACAAAGGGCGAGAAACACAAAGGGCGAGAAACACAAAGGGCGAGAAACGCAAAGGGCGAGAAACACAAAGGGCGAGAAACACAAAGGGCGAGAAACACAAAAGGCGAGAAACACAAAGGGCGAGAAACACAAAGGGCGAGAAACACAAAGGGCAAGAAACACAAAGGGCGAGAAACACAAAGGGCGAGAAACACAAAGGGCGAGAAACACAAAAGGCGAGAAACACAAAGGGCGAGAAACACAAAGGGCGAGAAACACAAAGGGCGAGAAACACAAAGGGCGAGAAACACAAAGGGCGAGAAACACAAAGGGCGAGAAACACAAAAGGCGAGAAACACAAAGGGCGAGAAACACAAAGGGCGAGAAACACAAAGGGCGAGAAACACGAGATCTGGGTGCTGCGGAGTGGTCGAACGACACTGTTTCCACGTCCACTATAGCCGTCCTGCCCTTGTCCTTCAGCGATGATATGCGCGCTCGATTCACCACCTGCCTTGGGTTAAACACCGAGGGTCAGATACATGAGAAAGAATAGTTATACAAAAAGGCGAATGATTTCCTGGTCATGCAGTTCAGCCCCGCATTGCGCGCGCGATTCACCACTTGGATTGACAGGAATCAGAAGCAAATGCAGGCTTGGTATGAAACCGTTTGCTTCAACAAAAGGATACAGAAACCAAGCTGGCTGGCTATTTTTCACCTTGGCAGTGGGCAGGAGTGGCCAGTTGTATTGAGTTGGGTGGTTCGGGCTCACCTTGGCAGAGGTGGGCAGGGGGCGGAAGAGGCATAGGTACTGCTCTCCGTGCAGCAATAGAGCCGGATCGAAGCTGGGAGAGGGAGGAGATGAGTGCAGAGGTGGAGAGGAGGAGAGAGAGGGAGAAGGGCGACTGATTCTGAGACGAATACAGGGCAGATGGATGACTCGGAAGGGCGAAAGGGAGTGGAGGTATAGGGAGAGGAGCGAGAGAGGGAGGGAGAGAAGGCAGTTCCCTGCATCGTGGACACGTGTGCTTGTGTCCCGCCCATCCACTCACACGAGCCCATCTACAGCGAGGAGTTGCTCAACGAGGGAGGAGGGGAAGGGTGTGGGGTATAGAGCGAAGAACAAGGGAGAAAGGATCGAATGCGGTTACCAGCACGGCCGCATCCCATCCACTCACACGAGCCCATCGACGGCGAGTAGTTGCTCGATGAGGGAGGAGGGGAAGAGAACCGCAAAGGTGGGGAGGACCTGTGGTGTGAGAGGTGGCACAAGGAGGGAAGAGGGAAATGAGGGTGAAGGGGAGAGGAATGTTTGGGGGGCAAATGAGTTAAGGGCATTGAGTGCAATCTTGGAACGTCTGTGATATAATGATGGGGTGTGAGACGGAATGGGGACAGAAGGATAGTGACACAGGGAGAGTGACGCAAGGAGGGTAACTGTAGCAGGCGGAGTGTGGTAGGTTGGTGCCTACAAAGAATCGATCCTGGAAGAGGTGATTATAGGCGAAGGGCAGGTCGATAGAGTCACACGCGTCAGACGAGCAGGCCCCAACGCCCAACGCGTATAGTGCCACGTCCCTGCTAGCCAGCACACACAAAACGACACGCCATGCCACACATTCACAGGGAGGGACACGCATCCCCGGCACAGATGTAGGGGTCGGCAATGCCGCACGTACACAGCAGCGAGTGTCACATACAGGACAAGCCATGCCACACACGCGCGCACGCACGCACGCAGAGAGGCAGAAATTGGCAAGAGACAATGAAATGACCAAGTACGAGGTTATGAAAAAAAATTAACAAAGACACCTCTTTCCCGCCCTTCTCCCACACGATGCTCTCCTGCCCCTCCTTTACCCCACCCTCTCCCCCACCCTCTCCCCCACCCTCTCCCCGACCCTCTCTCCCAACCTCTCCCCGACCCTCTCCCGTACCCTCTCCCCCACCCTCTCTCCCACACTCTCCCCCATCCTCTCCCCCACCCTTTCTCCCACCCTCTTCCCCACCGCTTCCCCCACCCTTTCCCCCACCCTTTCCCCCCATTGCCTTGCACTCCGACTGAAAAGCGTCGCCCATTTCCCCCATTGCCTTCCCCCACCCTTTCCCCCACCCCATCCTCCACCCATTTCCCCCACCCCCTCCCCCACCTTTTCCCCCCATTGCGTTCCGCTTACTTCTCTGTGTACTCATAGTCCAACTGGAAGACGTCACCCTTCCCCCCATTCTTCCGCCACCCTTTCCCCCATTGCCTTCCCCCACCCTTTCCCCCATCATTTCCCCCACCCATCTCCCCCATTGCCTTGCACTTACTTCTCTGTGTACTCAAACTCCGACTGGAAGACGTCCCGCGTTTAGCGGTGGCGCATGGGGGCCAATAGAAGCCATCCACGTGTGCATGCGCGGCGGTTGGCAAGCGATGACGGGGAGAGGGGGGTGAAGAGAAAGAAATGAGGAGGATGGAAGGAGATGCGTGAAGGGGGTTTAATCAGTGGAGCCGTGAATGAGAATGAATGATGAGCGACGAAATGAAAGTGCGAATAGAGACAGGAATGCGGCCTGCGTTCTTGCAGAGTATCGAGTACGAGAGAGTATGAGAGCGCAAGCAATGAATAACGAGCACGATGAATTGAGAGCAACACCTTGGCGGCTGAAGGTGGTGATGAGAGCCAAGGATGTTAGAAGGTCACTTAAGAGCAAAGGTGGTTGCGATACTGCGGCAAGCTGCGCTCGACTCGTTCGGTTCCCATTGGTCGAATTCATGCAAGCTGGGATCGAATCGTCCTGTGGACGTGCGACGCGACGCACTGACCTCATCGAATTCGTAACCGACAACTTTTTCCGCTTCGATTCTCGATGCTCCACGTGATGCGGCCATCCCTCGCAGTCTGGCTGTCAAATGGTCGACTCTCGGTCCTGACGCCACGCGAAAGAATCCAGATGTCAGGTGAGTTACGGCGCGTCACCTCGGGCGTTTGAACGGGCCAATTCGAACAGCCACCGTACTGAAACGCTTTGTCTGTTCCTCAAAACGCGCTGTACCAGACTTAACCTTCAGAATTTGGTTCAAACAGCCTATTCCCGCCCGATGTGACACGCCCTTATTCTCGCAGTCTGAAGAAATAACGTGCAGTCTAATTGCGTCGCGGCTATGACGTCCTATGTGGAACCTTGAAAATTGAAATAACACGGATGTCACAGCTATGACGTTCTAGGGCTTTCACATAGCACGAGGTGAACATGGTAAACTTGAAATCGTGTTGGCGAAACTATTTCAAAAATGTGGGCGGGGCGAATACGAACTCACGTGGCGAGGTGAAACAGCTTTCGCCACGCTGTTTCGCGAGAGCTGTCTCTGGGAATATGGGTGGGGCGAAAGAGCACTGCGCTCGCCACACCATTGGTGGGCACACTTCCATTCAAACTCTCCTGGAATTGAAATGGTGTGCAGGGCATGCAAAATACTAGCAATGAGGAAATTCTGTAGCACTGTACAATTTCAATTTGAATAACATTTTTGTGAGACAAAGGGGTTACAGCCTCACGTCTGTCGAGCCGGCCGTGTGGTGTGTCAGAGCCCGCTATTTTCGAAACTACGGTACAGATGGATTGGGATGTTATGCGAGGTTATCCATCAATCATAGATCTGGTACTGTACCACTTGCTTTTCCCACCTGCCAGTGCCGGCAACAAAAGCTTGCGTGAAAAGCATCGCGGAAATAGATTTCGGAATGGATCTTGAAAATAGTACCATCTCTAGTACTGTTGCTAACACTCCAATTATCTCGTCAGAGAGCAGGCCGAGGCACATAGTCCTAATATATTAGTACGAAAATGGGAGCGGGGGTAGCGGCAGGAGCGGCGACTCGAGTCGAGCGGAGGCGCGTGGGAGTCCGATCATTAGTCGCCGCCCTGGTGCCGCTCGGCACGCTGTCCGTCTACGTGGCCTTCCACGCCGTGCTCAGTTATTCGCCTGGGGGCATCGCAGCGCGTGAGTGCAGCAGGCGAATGCCATTCGGCTTGCGCATCTGGCTTGTCACGAGCAACGGTTTCATCTCCCCACAGTGACTGTTTTGCTTCTGTGCTGGCTAATGTGCGATACCATGATCATGCGATGTGATCGTGCGATATGATCATGCGATGCGATATGATCGTCGCGATATGATCATGCGATATGATCGAGCAGTGCTCCAGCTTTCCTTTCATGCTTCGAGTTGAAGCGCACATGTCCTTAAAAACCCCTCGTTGCAACTCGTGAGAGATGGCGCAGTATGCGTTCTGTACTAGAATTGTTAGTTACAGATGTTTTACGTGTGTCAAACAGATTTCTGGACCAATGGCCAATGTCGCATTGTCCCAGCTTACACGCCTTTGCGCGTGGCTTCTGTCGCACCCCTTGTGAGACGCGGTGTTACAGTGTTACCAGTCACGAGCTTTGTTTCATGCGAATCCCCTGGTTCTCAGGTTGAAAGCGTTTGTCACTCTCCCTGAGGGAGGGACCACTGACCACTGTAATAGTCCAAGGCCTGGCCTTGTCATCTTATCAGCGCTGCAATGCAAACCAGTTCTCCTACCTCCCCCTCCCGCACCGCACCCACCAACAAACGGCTCTTCATCCGTACCCGCCGGAGCGACTCTCTCCTCCTAATCTCCCCGCCGGCCTCCAGTTATTGACAAGCCCGTGAAGCTGTACTGGTCGCAGAGGGCGGCGCCGTCGCAGCGTGACCGGGGAGCAGCGGGGCTGCTTATAACGGAGCAGCAGGCCAGGCCCGCGGAGGATCGAGGGGCACGCCGTGAATCTGTATCGCGGATGGCGCAGAATGAAGCGACAAAAAAGTCGGCGGACACGCGGGCAGGAGAGGAAGCAACGCGTGGGGAAGGGGAGGGGGCGGAATGGGAGTGTGGGGTGGAGGAGGAGCAGAGGGCGGGGGAAGGGTGGAGCGTCACGGGGGTGGCGAGGTTCGGGCGAGTGGAGGTGGAAGGAGCGGGCGCGGAGAGGGCTCTCGCCAACCAGCGCACGTGCTTCTCCGTGACTGGTGGGCCTGGGAGACGGACTGGGAGACAGGGGCGGGGAAGGGCTGCGAGGGGCGGGGAAGGGCTGCGAGGAGCAGTGCCTAGCTAGCAGTCCGATTTCGAGGCGCGTTAAAAAACTGACTTGCGCCAACCACCGCACGTGCTTCTCTGTGACTGGTCGGACTGGGAGACGGGGGCGGGGAAGGGGCTGTGTAACACTTATGGTGTGCATATGCAATTCACGCCCCCTAGCCTGGTCTTCTTTCGCACTTCCACACTGCTCTTGCTTTCACTCCTATTCATTGTTCCAAGCTTCCTGAGCAAGCACAATGCGTGATTCTAATATTGATCCATGCCCTGCTTTGCTGTTCTCTTGCTTGGCTGGGATGGTCTGTGTCTGCATATGCCGCTGCTGCTGGCTGCTGCTGCTGCTACTGCTGTTGCTGCTGCTGCTGTTGGTGGTGGTGCTGATGTCACTGGTGGTGCTATGTTCACTGGCATTGCTTGTGGCAGCATTCGATACAGCTGGAGACGCGTTCGATGTTGGTTGCAGGTGCGTCATACCGGGCAGGTGGGCTGCGGAGGCCTTGGAGAGGCAGCTTAGGGAGCCAGCTTAGCCAGCTGAGAGAGGCGGCTTAGAGAGCCAGTTTAGCCAGCTTAGAGAGGCAGGGTTTGCCAGCTTAGCCAGCTTAGAGCTCTGGAGACGCGTTCGACGTTGGTTGTAGGTGCTGTGTCCACCACACCTCCCTCTCTCCCTCTCTCCCTCCCCTCTCCCCTCTCCTCTCCTTCTCCTCTCCCCTCTCCTCTCCGTCCCCTCTCCCCTCTCCTCTCCCTCCCCTCTCCCCTCTCCTCTCCTTCTCCTCTCCCCTCTCCTCTCCGTCCCCTCTCCCTTCTCCTCTCCCTCCCCTCTCCCCTCTCCTCTCCTCTCCCTCCACCCGTCGCCCTCATGCCACCCCTACCCCACTGCTACCCCACCGCCCCCTGCTATGCATGCACTCTCATGCCGTGCATGCACTCATATCACATCTCCCACCGCCCGTCTCTTTGCCTGCCATCTCACCCTCGTGCAATCAAGCGCCCCCTCTCCACTCCATCGCCCCTCTCCACTCTCCATCACCCCTCTCCACTCAATTACCCCTCTCCACTCAATCACCCCTCTCCACTCAATCACCCCTCTCCACTCAATCACCCTTCTCCACTCAATCACCCCTCTCCACTCTCCATCGCCCCTCTCCACTCAGTCCCCCCTTTCCTCTCCATTGCCCCTCTCTACACAATCAATCACCCCTCTCCACTCTCCATCGCCCCTCTGCGTTCTGCTGCAGGCAGCGGGCGTTCTTCGTGGCGCTACTCACCTTTGACACCCTCGCCAACCGCTCCTCCTCTCAACCTCTCGGTGCCTTCTCCTCCCTTTCCACCGACTCACCCTCTTCCTCCACCACCACCACCTCCATCACCAATAGCAACAACACCAGCGGCAGCAGCAGCGGTGACAGCAGCAGCAGTGGCAGCAGCAGCGACAGTGGAGTGGGTGCGGAGGACCCAGAAAGTAGGTGGAGACGTTTCGGGAGAACGGCGAGAGTGACAGAGGCGCCGGCATGGGACGATGCTGCTAACGGGTGGACTGACCTGCGACTGGCAGCTCGAGTCACATACCGCCCCGCCTCCTCCTCCCACCAGGTGCCCTCCTCCTCCCACCAGGTGCCCTCCTCCTCCCCCCAGGTGCCCTCCTCCTCCCCCCAGGTGCCCTCCTCCTCCCCCCAGGTGCCCTCCTCCTCCCCCCAGGTGCTCTCGGCCTGCTGCTCAACTCCTCGAGTATCAAGGCATGGCTCGTAGGTAGAGCAGCCAGACAAAAGCTCCCTTGCTCCCTCCCATCCTGTTGCCACTCATCCCCCCGTCACCTCTCCCTCACTCCAACCTCGCCTTCTTTTCATCCATCCCACCTCTCTCATGCCTCCACCTCTCTCATGCCTCCACCTCTCTCATGCCTCCACCTCTCTCATGCCTCCACCTCTCTCGTGCCTCCACCTCTCTCATGCCTCCACCTCTCTCATGCCTCCACCTCTCTCATGCCTCCACCTCTCTCATGCCTCCACCTCTCTCATGCCTCCACCTCTCTCATGCCTCCACCTCTCTCATGCCTCCACCTCTCTCATGCCTCCACCTCTCTCATGCCTCCACCTCTCTCATGCCTCCACCTCTCTCATGCCTCCACCTCTCTCATGCCCCCACCTCTCTCGTGCCCCCACTCCGTCCGTGCACCCCCAGGTGTGCTTCACAGCGATTTTTGAGGCGCTTAAAAACTCCTCTCGTGCCCCCAATCCATCCGTGTGTCCCCAGGTGTGCTTCACAGCGCCCTTCCCCGGCCCCTACCGGCTGTCGCTGCATCTGCTCTTCTCCAACGCGTGCCAGACGCGCACTGCTCTCAGCAAGGCCTACAACCAGGGCTTCCAAAAGTGGGTCTTTTGTGCTGCGGTGTGGGGGGGTATGCAGTGGCTGCATTGCAGAGGCTGCATTGCAGTGGCACTGATCACTGACCTTTGAGGTACCTAGGCGCTCTCGCTGCATCTGCTCTTCTCCAACGCCTGCCAGACCCACACAACCAGGGCTTCCAAAAGTGGGTCTTCTGTGCTGCGGTGTGGGGGGCCATGCAGTGGGGGGGCATGCAGTGGCTGCATTGCAGTGGCACTGAATAACGCCTGCCAGCTTGCTGGTGTCTCTGTGTGCGCGTGCGTGTTTGTGTGCTTGCTTGTATGCATGTCTGCATGTGAGTATGTTTGAGCATGTGTGCATGTATGAATCTCTCCATGTGTGCATGTGTCTATGTATGCATGTGTGCATGCTTCCTCTGTGATGTCTCTCCTAATACTACCTTCGGCTGCATGCATGTGGGCATGTACTCGCAAACCCACACACACACACACACACGTTCTCCCACCGTGCACGCACACCCCTACCCATACGTTTTCCTAGCTCCCAGGATCTCCCATCAATGTCCCATGAATTAACCATAAACCCTCTCACCCCGTCATCTTTCCCCACCCACGCACTGCCTGCCGTCACACCACTGCTTGCCCGTGCATGCACCAACCGCCGTCACTCCGTGCATGCACCACCCGCTGCCACTCTGTGCAGCTATCACCTGGTGGCCCTCCGCAAGCTGCAAGTCACCAGCCCCCAGCCGTACTTCCCAGACGCGCTCAGGTAAGCATGATGGCTCGTCTCCTCAGTGAGGTTGTAATCAGTTGAGCCGCGCGTTGTAATCAGTTGAGCCGCGAGTTGTAATCAGTTGAGCCGCGACAAGAAGCAGGACTATGGGTTGCAAGTCTCCAGCCCCCAGCCGTACTTCCCAGACGCGCTTAGGTAAGCGTGGTGGCGCATCAGTGAGGTCTTGATTAGGCGGCAATAAGCAGGAGTATGAAGTGAGTTCTCCAGAGGAGACTGGGAGGAGAAAGGAGAGCGAGGGAGGCTATGCAGGCTGGGTTTGTAGAATGCTCAACACCAAGCTGCTACAGGATGGGCTGTAGTGCAGCCAGCTGATACATGATGTTCTGATTCTATAGTGACGATTTGACAGCTCCTGTCTGCTTTTGACAGCTCCTGTCCGCCTTTGACAGCTCCTACACCAAGCTGCTACAGGATGGGCGGCAGCAGCCAAGCAGTCCGGATTCAGGAGATACAAACCTGCTACCTGAACGCGGCCATCTCCTGCATTCCCTCATGCGGTGACCGATATCAACACTGAACAGAAACCATGTTGAAACCGAATCATATCCAAGGCCTGTCAGCCGAAGCAGCCCCTCCCTTCGTCCTTCCGAGGCTGTTGAGACCTTTCAAACCCCCTCCACTGGCGCACAGAGAGGGCCTCCCCTGGTGCACGTCTGCCCTGCTGCGCTCGTCCGGCAACGAGGGCTACTGGAAGGACCAGCAGTGGCGCCCCCACGCGTGCCGCCTCAAGTCCGTTCAGCCGGCCGGTGTGCTCCGTTGCTTCCACCGCAAGCAACGTGTGCTGCTCATGGGTAGGGAGGGGTGCTCATGGGTAGGGAGGGGTGCTCATGGGTAGGGAGGGGTGCTCCTGCAGTTCTTCCTTCACATGTAATGCCATGTGGTGCCTGTGCTGTTCTGTGCACCCGCTCCTTTGTCACGCCCTCCTTTGTCACGCCCTCCTTTGTCACGCCCTCCTACGGCAGGCGATTCAGAGATGCGCTACCTCTTCGGCTTCCTCCAGGTCTTCCTGCATGCAGACTCGCGCGCAGCCTTTGTGGAGTCCGAGAAGGCCAACATGCAGGCAAGCAAGCCAGCCCCGTGTGTGCCGTTGTTTTGCTGCCTGCCTGCCTGCATGACTGCCTGCACGCCTGCATGCCTGACTGCCGCCACTCAACCCCGTGCATGCTGTGTATCGCGAATGAATCAATTCTTGAGTCGCCTTTTATGAGGCACCTCAAAAGTATCTACTCAACCCCACCCATCCCATGTATGCTGTGTACCTTGAGTCCTCTTCTTTTAGGCAAGCCGTATGGTGCCTGTTTGATCCTCTATGTGGAATCTGTCTGCCTGTCTGCCTGTCTGCCTGTCTGCCGGTGTGCGGCCACATCTCCCCTGGAAACGGCTACCACGGGTTCCATGCTTCTCCCCAGCGAGCAATTTTTTTTTTGAAACCATGTGCGCCCACATCTCCCCTGCACAGGGAGCGCACGGGTTGCATGGGTTTCCGCAGGTGCGGAGCCTTTTGAGTTGAGTGACTTAAAACTCATAACTGACTTGCGAGTCGATTCAAACCATGTGCCGCCGCATCTACCCTACCCTGCACAGGGCGTGCACGGGTTTCATGAGTTTCCCCAGGTGTGGAGCCCCTTCAATGGCAGCGCGGGGAGTGGGTTCAATAACGGATCGCGCATCTGTCTGTCTGCCTGTCTGCCCATGTGCTGCCTGCCGCATCTACCCTACCCCCCACAGGGTGTGCACGGGTTCCATGGGTTTCCCCAGGTGTGGAGCCCCTTCAACGAGAGCGTGGGGAGTGGATCCGAGAAGGTGCTGCGCATGCGTGTGCGCAGAACCGACTACACGACCTTCTACTATGGCTCGCTCTATGACGGCTTCGTGCGCACCAGGTGAGTCGGGTTCTGATTGAGACGACTCAAGACACGAGGGTGCTGCGCATGCGTGTGCGCAGAACCGACTACACGACCTTCTACTATGGCTCGCTCTATGACGGCTTCGTGCGCACCAGGTGAGTCGGGTTCTGATTGAGACGACTCAAGACACGAGGGCGCTGCGCATGCGTGTGCGCAGAACCGACTACACGACCTTCTACTATGACTCTCTCTATGACGGCTTTGTGCGCACCACGTGGGGCTGGCACGAGGTGAGGCTGGCACGAGGTGAGCCGTGTTGTGAGTCGACTCAAGACACGAAGGTGCTGTGATGCGCTTGCCTGTGCGTGGAACCCACTACGAAGAGACCTTCTATTATGACTCGCTCTATGATGGCTTCGTGCGCACGAGGTGAGGCTGGCACGAGGTGAGGCTGGCACGAAGTGAGGCTGGCACGAGGTGAGGCTGGCACGAGGTGAGGCTGGCACGAGGTGAGGCTGGCACGAGGTGAGGCTGGCACGAGGTGAGGCTGGCACGAGGTGAGGCTGGCACGAGGTGAGGCTGGCACGAGGTGAGGCTGGCACGAGGTGAGGCTGGCACGAGGTGAGGCTGGCACGAGGTGAGCCGGACCACGCCTTCATGCGCACGAGGGGAGCCTGGGGCGCTACGCTCCACATGCAGGGGAAACGCCAAGCACCTTTTGATGAACGGCTTGTGATTGGAACGGCTTGTGATTGGAATAGATGCCATGCCCAGAACCACGCTCTTCTCCTGCTGTCCCATTCCGGTCTTTGCTTTCACGGTCAATGAGTGAGCGCTGCACCTCCCGTTGCCCCTCCCAGGTTCAACATTACCAGGGACGGCCGGGCGTTTGAGTTCAATCTAACATACGTGGCACAGATGGGGGCGATACAGGAGGTGCTGCCAGCGTGGATGTTCAACACGAGCCTCCTGGGAGACGACGTGCTGAGCCGCCCGGACACTCCCTTCCGACTCGTTGCCTTTGGCGTCTCCCTGCACGATCTCACCACACTCAACTCCACACTGGACTACCGACGAACCGCAAGTGCGTGGAGGAACAAGTGTGTCAGTCGAGTGTTCATTCTTTCTTTCATTCTTTCATTCTTTCTTGAAGAATCTGCTGTGCTTGCACTGCGCTCTACCTACCAACGTACGTGCATTCAGAGCATCTCCGTTCTTCCCCAGTTTCGTCTTGTGCTGTTCTAATCGTGTCCTAATCGTGTTCTACTCGTGTTCTAATCGTGTTCTACTAGTGCTATTGCACTCCCTTTTCTCTCCACAGCTTGACATCCACTCCCAGCCTCGCACCTGCTGCTCTCTCGTATGGGCGTGCGTGCTGCGCGATGCCTCTTCCTCTCCTTGCCCTCTCATGTGCTCTGTGCTCTGCTCCCCATGTTCCTCTCCTTGCCCTCTCAGCCTCGCACCTGCTGCCCAGCTTGCGCCGTCGCTTGCAGGACGCGCGGCGGCAGGTGACCTTCTTTGGCCCGTGGGCAGCCAGAGAGGACATCAAGCCCCGCTGGGTGATTAACAAAAGCAACAACGTGCGCGGCATAGCCTTCGAGGAAGAAGCTACCAGGTGGGTAACACTTCAGGGTCGTTTTGTAAATTACAGGTAGGGGGCTTTCTATTTGCAGTTTTGGCTGGAGAGCTGGGTGGCACTTCAGTCCAGAGAAGTTTTCAGGTGGGCTTCGCTTTAGGAAGCTTCCAGGTAGGTGGCGCTTCAGGAGGAAGCGTTTGAGTTGGGTGGTGCTTTAGCAGCATTTCACTCACCACATGTGAGACTCTCATCACTCCAAACTGAACCGCGTTGAACCACATTCAGGCATCTACCTCACACCATTGCGAACAATTCCAGCAGCAAGTGACTGAACATGATTTAAGGCAGAGCAAAGATTAACAAGGTGGTAGTAATGCCAGCTTCTTGCTTAAAGAAAGAAAAGAAGAAAAGAAAGAAAGAAACAAGAAAAACAAAAAAACAAAAACAAAACAAAACAAAACAGAACAAACAAACAAACCACTTCCAATCGATTACAACAGATTGCTCTGTAACCCAAAAAAAAAATCCTTCTCAAGTCATTGATCATGTGAGGTGGTAAAATATTCTGTCTTTTCATTGGACGGATTTTTTAACTACCGTGAACTCCTTGCCTCCTGCTGCATTTTTCCATGTCAGGCTGCTACCGCACCAAGGATTTGAGAGGTTTGTGCCAATGACCTCGGTAACTCTTCCTCGTCCTGACTTGTCGCCTGACAGCACACATTACTCGTGGGTGGTTACACTTGCCATGCTGGATATTTGGTTCACCACCGCTTGCTTAGAAACATAATTACCTATTTCCATTGAAGACTCTGTACTTTTATACTCCAGGAAATACAGCTTTGGGAATGTCTCAAAACGTTCTATAAATAAACTCCTCACCATTTATAAGACATGTTTAAAACAGACAACCAGAACAAAGGTTTGCTGATTCCAAATATTGGCTTATCAGAACCAGCTGATAAGAGAGTGGTGTACAGTGGAGCTACAGTCATCTTTACATCCTGTACGCGGGTACGCGTGCCCGTGAATTTATGCACAACAGGAGGGAGTGTAAAGTCGGCTGTCAGAGTGCATATCACGTGTCGTGCAGTGCAGTCCGCCCGATAGTGCGGATCGGTGGTGGTGCGGTGAGGTGCGGTGCGTGGGTGGGATGAAGGGTTTCGATTTTTCCCGCTACGCTACCACATACACACAAGCCGTCTCGTCCTGCGTCGCTAACTGATGGTCATGGCACGTGTCAAGCCTGCAGTGGCAGCTGGCCGAGCATGTGTGGATAAGAGTTCGTTTCCTCGGGATAATCCGATTAGGTCTGCTCTGGTAGCCTCTTCCCGTCAGCCCCAGCAGCCGTCACCGCAAACAAAGCTTTGGGAAAATCAGATCTCGCAATTTGAAGACACCTCGCCTCAAGCATAAGCACATTCCTATAGCACTCCGAGTCGACTCGAATTATCTTACCCGAGAATAGTAACACAGCGGCAAACCGATGCCAGGCACACTGTGCTAGAAGTATAGTACACGCGCAGCATGGGAGAGCCTGAGGGCGTGGCTACAGGAGCGGCGAATGTCGCGAAGCGGCGCGGCCTCGTCGCGTCGGCCGCCGTGCTGCTGCCCGGCGCGATCGTGCTGTTCGTCTACCTCGGCCTCCACGCCGTGCTCTCTCGCTCGCCTCCGGACATGGCAGCACGTGAGGTTCACAAGCCTGTTTATTCTCTTAACAATTTGTTAACAACTCTGATTAAGTGGTGCTCCTTGGGTCTTAGTACCTCGCCCTCCACGCCGAGCTCTCTCACTCGCCTCCGGACATGGCAGCGCGTGAGTGCAGCAGCGGCGAATGTGCACCTGACTCTTGTTATCAGCATTTCGCTTCACCTCCCATCATTTGCCACTGGTCTGTCGTGTCGCCCTACCCGGCCTTCTCATCGTGCCAGCGCTGCGGTCCCATTCCCTCAACCGCCATTTGAGGCGCTTCAAAAGGCGTCTCCCGCATTCCCTCACCCGCCCTCTATCCTCCTAATCCCCGCCCGGGCCGCCAGTTATCGGCCAGCCTGTGTTGCTGTACCACTCGCAGTCGCCGCTGTCGCAGCAAACGGGTGCAGCGGGAGTGCCTATAACGGAGCTCTTAGGATCGTAAGCACCTTAGTCGGCAATAGTCTACTTGCTATTGCTTATCGTGTTCTACACGACCTCCCGAATCCAACGATATGCGTAGCTCTGCTTGAAGTTGTCAATACACACTTCAGCAATTTTCAGAATCACCAACTGATCAATGTTATATTTCCAGAATGAGTACAAGCAGTTTTATAGGCATGCAAGACACAAAATGCGATTCGTAACTTCACTTGTTTCCCAAGTAACCGCGTGCGCCTCGTTTCACCCCGAGTCGCACACGGAACCGAACCGAATTCGGTGAACACTCCTCAAGACCGAAACTGGAACCTTCTCGAACGCGCCTTGGTCTCAGACCACAATTTCCCCCGTCAATCTCATCCTCGATGCTTCTCCTTCTCTCTTCCTCCATTTCTTTGGTTCCTTCTCGATTTTTCTCCCGCTTCTCACGCCGTAGGCTGATTTCCACCGTTTCACCTAGAATCATCCACGCGCTTCCATTTCGCCGTCATTCCGCCGTCGTAGAGACTTTCGCCATAGGTTCCGTGGTTGGGCGAACCAACCCTAACAATCTCCCCTGTGGCTCGTCAACCACGAACTCTACTCGCACTCCTCCCCTGCTCCTGGTAGCCTTCACAAGGTCTAAGTCACCTTCACGCTCCCCTGCAGCTCCTGCACCTTGAACCTCTGCTTACGTGTCTTGAAGTTGAGCGCCTTGACATCCAAACCTTGAGAGATTTTCTGAAGCCTCTCACTTCTCCTCGGCATCTTAACACCCAACACATCTCGGGTCTCGTACCCCTCAACGTGTTCCTCCTTCGTAAGCACTCGCCCCTTTGCAGTTGCTTTCACCTTTGATCCCTTCACCATGATGTCCCCTTTCACAGCTTCGACTCCCACACACTTCGCATTTACTGCTTCGACTTCAACCACAATCGCTGCTGCAAAAGTGTTGACACCATCTCTATCGCCACCATTCACTGCTGCTGCCTCCATGGCGACTATCTCCTCTTTCTGCTTCACTGCTGCCTCCACACTCGCTGCCGTATCATCCGTGTCCTCACTCTCATCAACCTTAGTGGATAACTTCTCCAATTCTCCCATTTCACCATACTCAGGATCCTCATAGATCTCATCCATATCATTCGTCGCTATCACGTTCATCTCATAAAATCCGTCACTGAAGTAACCCTCTGCGTACTTCTCCCACTCAGGGCCAAACACTGTAACCTTGCCACTGTCATAAAATATCTTGCACCCCAAGTCATCAAGCTGTGACTGACTCATCAAGTTCACCTTTAAATCCTCAACCAGCAACACACTCTCCAGTTTCACCTCTCCATACGGACTC